CCCAAAGATCTGTAAATCAATCCATGCCCAACAGACTCTGTGAAAGTCATTCTCTGTGTGACTTAAGGAATCTGAGCTTCCTCGGGGCAACGGGTAGTGTTACCTGAGGCACCGCTATCCCGTTACCGCACTCACAGAGTGAAATTCAAATCTCCTAAGGTACAGAAACGCTTTTAAGACTTTTGATGATAGGGAAATAACTGAAATTTCAGCCAATCTCTCTTCTTGGATCAATTTCATTTGTTCTGTATCATTTAGGATCTATCCTCTCATGTGGACTTAGAGATCCTTTTAAATATATAAGTGTAAAATATTTATTTATAAAATTTATTTAAGTATATACATGCGTTATACATATTTCAGCACCTCTCAGAATAATAGTAAGCAAACACACTCCCATCCAATGGATAAAAGGCCGAGGCGGGAGGAGTCTGACCAAGCACATCGGGAGAACACGGAGTGACTCCACACAAACTGGCTTCTGTGGCCTGAAGGGCAAATGTCCCCACCAAAGCTGCCCTCCCGCGGCAGGCTGGCACGGCAGTTCGGCACCGCCGCCTCCTTCGGGGGCTCAAACTCTGCCTTGTTCACTGAGGCTTAGCTTCAGTACCCGCTGTTGAACAACTGGAGCCTCGGGAGAAACGCGCCTGAGAAACTTGACTGAACTGAGTCCACACACGCAGATAACGGTCTGTGCACGCGCTCTGGACAGAAGGCAAATGTGACAGTTTGGGAGAGATAAAGAAAGGCACACTCTATCTCCTCATCAGCTTGAGGTCACCGAGGAAATCTCGAGCATCTGCGAAATGCATTAATTTTTCACCCCCCCTGCCTAAGCAACTTAAAATGTGGCAGGAACCGAAGGGAAGGATCAATAGTGAGACGCCGGAACCCTCTTTCCCAAGCCCCCAGCAGGGCCGCCCCGCGATCCATACCGTATCCCCACAGAGTGCAGAGTGTACTCCTTCGCACGGAAGGAAAACCATGCCAAATTCCAGGCGGCGACCTTCCCAAAGGAGCGACAGACCAGACGCTTGCTTGTACCAGTCAACTGCATTTCACAGCGACCACCTCCGGGGTGTGAGAGAAAGAATGGGACCCAGGGCTTTTGTTTTCAATTTCTTATCTTCTGTGATGCCCAAATTGCTAATAATGAACACACTGTAATCTTTGTTCCTCCCCTCCATGATAGAAACAGTCATGAGAAGGCCAAGGAGACAGCTCAAAGGGCTCCGCATGCAGGAGGCCCAGGTTCAATCCCAGGCACTCTAGGGCCCCTGAGCACTGCTAGGAGCAACGCTACAACGTGCAGGAAGCAGCCCCTGAACACCACCAGGTGTGGCCCCAAAACCAAAACCAAACCACCAAAACGGCCACGAATACAGCAACAGTGATTTGAAAGTCAACGATAGGTCCACTCTTTGTCCAGGAAGAGCTGGAAAAAATAAACCACAAGAGGTTCCGAGAGATTTCAGATGTTAACAAAGAAAACAGCTGAGAAACAACTGCAGTGCTCACGGTTTGTTAGGAAAGGAAAAAGATTTTTCAAAAAGCAAATTAGATTTCTATAGGGATCCGGAAAAAGTCTGATCTTCCTAACACTCCAATGCCCAAGTCTCACTCCTCGGCACTACGGACAGAGGCCTATTTCCAGAAGACCGAATCCCATAACAGTCATGTGTGTGCACATAGATAAACCTGATTCACATGTTCACACAGTTTTTTTTATTTTTGGGGTCATCCCCAACTGTGCTCAGGGCTTGCTTACTCCTTGCTCCGTGCTCAAGAATGAGTCTTGGCAGGGCTCGGGGGACCCTATGGGGGCCAGGGATCAACCTAGGTTGGCTCAGGCTTGTGTCTCAGAATTCTCATCTGGGGGCCAGAGAGACGGTGAGCAGGGAAGGCACTTGCCTCGCACGCAGCTGACTCTGGTTCAAACTCCGGCATCCCGTGGGGTCCCCCAAGCACCGCCAGGAGCACAAAACCAGGAGTAAGCCTTGAGCACCTTGGATATGGCTCAAAACCAAATATGCAAACAAACAGACAAAACCCACAAGAATTGTCACCTAGGGCAGTGCGAGGGTTGGCGGGATGGAGCACTCGCTGTGCTTGCAGGAGGCCCGGGCTGCACCTCAGACACCATGTAGGTACCGAGCATCGGCAGCCCTGAGCACTGCTGGGTGCTAAACCCCAAACAAACCCAAAAATAAGCCGATCGTGTTCACCTAGACCACTGTGCAGCGCCGATATGCCCTTAACAACTCCAACGGCTACAGCAAGGAGACCTCAAATTAGCGGATGACTCTAATAATTGGAAGGGCCGAGAGCAGGCCATTTTCTCCCCACAGGGTGTCATTTTCCACCCTGCAGATAAAACAACATGCTCCAAAGAGCACGAGTTCCACAAGTCACTGGCAGGCACGGGGGTGACGGAAGAAAGACAAAGTCAGAGCAGGGCAGTGGACAATCTGGAGGACGGCCGTCCGGCGCTGCTCTCACCGACCCAGTGGGCAGCAGGAGGCCGCTGGATTCCTGGGCTAATCATTTCTTCTGAGGACTTTTCAGCACCTGTCCGGGCAGGTTAATAGGGGTCCCCTCTGCAGCACAGCACCTTCCGGCCCGCAGGCGTGATCAAGCTAGAGAACAAAGCTGTGCAAATGACCATGAGGGCTGAGAGGCCCAGGTTCCCTCCCTGACAAAGGGTCTCGTGAGACTACAGCCAGTGACCACCCTGCCCCGCCCCGCCCCAAACACAGAGCACTACCAGATATGGTCCCCAAACCTCTAATGTTCTACTAGCACTGAAAAACAGAAGTCACCCAACCCAGTGAGCAGAGAGGAGGGAGAGGGGCCAAGAGCATCTTCTCAACCCTGGCCCCGGGCAGGAAGGGGGGTTCTGCTGGAGGAATCTTTCAGCTCTAGAGGAAGATTCCTAGAGAGAGGCCCGGCCAGGCCCACGAGAGGAATGCCAGCACACCCTTGAGTGCCACTCGGGGCAAGTGGCAAAGCAAACGAGAGTGCGCGCGGGGGGGGGGGGGGTTGGTTTCCAATCACCCCAAAGGCCGAGAGCCAGTGCATGGTCTATCGAGCACAAAACGGCAGGTGGAAAACCACAGGAAGTGGCGTCTGGCACTTACCTGCAAGCAACAATTCCACGCCTTCAAAGAAAGACACCCTAAAGAAACCTGTAGGGCACACCCCAGCACGGAGATTGGTGAGGACAAACCGGAACACCCAGCTGTTCATCGAAAGGGTTAGGACCCAGGCCTGCACTAGCCTATCCGCCACGGAGTGTATTTAAGAGGCAGCTACCTTCTAGCACCCAGGGTCTGCACAAACTGAAGGCTGAGCTGTAGAAACGCGCCAAAACAGACCACTGACTACACACAATAAGACAGGACTTGGAGAAACTTCAAAAACGTCCAAAGCAGGGGCGTAAATTTGGCTCGCCAGGCCTCGCCGGCAGGCAGGACACCCAGGTCTAATCCCCAGCACTATAGGGAGGAAAACCTGCCCACAGACCTGGCAGCAAGCCACCAAGCCACCTCACCTCTTCAAAAAAAGGAGAAAAGAAAGAAAATTCAAAACAGGGCCAGGAAGAGAGCTCACAGACTGGGGACATACTTTGCATACGAGAGGCCCAGGTTTTAGGGGGTGGGTTTTTGTTTGGTTGTGTGTGTGTGTGTGTGTGTGTGTGTGTGTGTGTGTGTTGGGGTCACACCCCACAGAGCTCAGAGCTTACTCCTGGCCTGGTGCTTGGGAATTACTCCTCGCAGGGTTCGGGGATTGCATAGGGTGACGGGGCTCGAACCCAACTCAGCCCCATGTAAAACCCTATTGGCCAGACCATCGCTCCGCCCAGAGGCCCAGGTTTGATCCCTGGAACCACACAGGCCCCCAGAACACTGCTGAAAGCAGCCCCCAACACCCAGCAAGGGGGAACCCTAGAGCACTATGTGGTGAAGCCAGTCCCTTAACACCCCCCTCAAAATTAAAAAAAAAAATTAAAACAGGGCCGGGGTGATAGCTCAAAGGACGGCTGGAGCACGTGCTACGGCACCCAGGCACGCCCTGAGCACTGGGCCGGAGGAGCCCCTCAAGCTCTCAGGTGTGGCCCAACCCCCCCCCCCAGAAAAAACAAATTCCAAACAAGTATTGTTTACAGATGCACAACACATCTAGAGTCCAGTTATTTTTAAAGGACGGGAAATGATCAACTCAGACTGCAGAATAATGTTTACCTTGGGGGGGGAGGGGATGTGGTCGGGAAGGGCACCCCCAGGGCTCCAATACCAGCCGTGGCAGACACAGACCTACTACTGGACATCCCAGCCAGGCAGGAGAGCAGAGCGATCTCTCCAGGCCCGTTTCGGGTGGAAAAGCCACAGATGCATGAAATAACTGGAATCACTCCAAATACAGGGGGAGGAACAGAGGGTGGGGCCTGGCAGAGCTGCGGAACCCCAAGTCACACAACACACATCACCAGGCTGGCCGGCCCCCCGGAGCAGGAAGCCGGCGCCCACAGTCCCGGGCACTTCGCTGGCCTCCGCAAAAGCAGCTCAGGGTCCGGGCCAGGGGCGACCTCGGGGACCTCTCACGCCCCCCGCCCCCGCGCCGGCTCGCTCAGAAACAAAAACGCCCCAAACTTGCGACGGCGACGCTCGGCCCCGCGGCAGGAACCCCCCGGGGGTGCCCAGGGAGGCCGGGCCCGGGTTCGGGGAGGCGGCTGCAGCAGGCAATTGCTCCCGCGGGAGGGGCGCCCGGCCGCCCGCGTCCCCGAGCCCGGGGCGCCCCGAGGGGGAGCGGCCGGCCCGTAACCGGCGCGGCGGCGACAACCGCGCTCGGCACGTGCGGCGCGGGCCGGGGCCCGGCAAGATCGCGGGCGATCTGGCGCTCCCGGCCGCCACACCGGGAAGAGCCCGGGGCGGGCGGCGGGGAAACCGAGGCCGGGCAGCGGCGGGCAGGCCCCGGGCCCGCGCGGCGCGGCGCCCGCTCACCTGGGCACGCAGCTGGACGAGCTCCGGTCCACCTCCCAGGTGGCGTACAGGTTCATCTGCACGGGCGCGGGGGTGCGGCCGGGCCCGGGGCCGCCGGGAGGCGCGGAGCCCGAGGCCACGGCGACGGCCATGGAGGTGGAGGTGGACGAGGACGAGGACGAGGCCGGCGCCGCCGAGGTGGACGAGGACGACGAGGTGGCCTGGGCCGCCTTGGGGGGCGTCGGCTGCTGGGGCGGCGGCGGCTGCGGCTGCGGCGGCGGCGGCTGCGGCGGGGACTGGGCGGCCCCCGAGCCCCGCGGGCCGCTGCCGCCCCCCGCGCCTCCGGGACCCCCACTCGGCCCTCCGCGTTCCGCCATGGCCGGGCAGCGAGCGATGCCGAGCGGCGGCGGCGGCGGCGGCGGCGGCGGCGGGGCCCGGCCTGTCTCCTCAGCCCGCCCGGCCGAGCGGAGCGCGCCCGCGAGAGGCTGCACGCACGCGCGGGCCCGGGCGCGCGCGGCCGAGCGCTCGCCCGCCGCTGCCTGTTGCGGCCCGCGCCGCCGAGCCCGCCGGGTGGGCGTGCCCGAGGGGGCGGGGCGGCCGGGCGCGCGCCCGGCCCCACCCGGCGCCGGGGCGGGGCCGGGCGCGCGCCCTCGCTCCCGCCGCTCGGGGGCCGCCGCGGGCGCGCGCCCGGCTGGCCCCGCCCCGCGAGCCCGCCGCGCCCTCGGCGGCCATCCGGGCCCCCCGCCCCTCCCCCGCCGCTCCGCCTGCGGAAAGCCCGCTTTTCCGGGGCGCGGCCCCGGCGGGGATGGGGCGGCCGCGGGAGCGCGCCCAGCCCCGCCGGGCGAGTGGTGCGGACCGCCGGGCCCTGCTTCTCCGCGCGGCCGGGTAGACCCCCTAGCTCGGGCGAATTGCGAACCTCAACCTGACCCAGTCTTCTCCGCCCTCTCCCCGCTGCCGCCTCCCACACAGCACCCCCGAGTCACACGCTCCCGCTCTGCCCTCAATTTCTTCCACTCGGTATGTTACTCGGTTTCTGGGATTCTCCTTGTCCCCGGGGCTGGTTCAAATGCCACCACCTCCAAGGCCCTTCCCGGCTGCCCACTTGCAGAAACCAGGGCATGCCCGCTGATGCGTTTGTACGGGGCTGTCAGTCCTGCCCCAGCAGCCTGTTGCAGCCAGAAGCAGCCTGCATCAGAAGCCTGGCCCATCGGAAGCCTCAGGAACACTGGGCGGGGGACCTGGGGGAAGCAGCTCCCCCACACCCCGTAAAACCTGGAGACCGGCTGGCTGAAGCCACCCTGTGTGCGGGGCTCAGGACCATCGGGTTTGGATTTGTGTTTCCCAGTGGGGTTTGGTGTGTCCTGCCACAAGTTCTCTCAGGAAGCTCTGACCTGGCCAGCTTCCCGGGCCCTCTATCTCCCCGGCCCAGACAGGGTGCTAAGCAGGCTATTTTTACTCCCCAAGGCCGAAGTAATAAGGACAAAGGAGACCTAGGTATTCCCCAGGGCCTTCTCGCAGGGCCACTTAAGTGTGGAGACCCACTGAGCAAGGCTGTGGTGTGGCGGCTGTAACTGGACAGAGAGGGGCCGTCTGAGCACGTGTGCAGAAGGGGGCACTCAGGAGATAGAGGAGGACCAGGACTGTTGCAGATTCATCTCTTTCCTTGGGAAACAGCTTTATTTACAAAACAGATCTGAAATAAGAACACGAAACGACAACTCCTTGGGAATGGGAACAGTGGGGAGAGCAGGCTCTTGGGGACCCTCGTGTGCAGCCCAGGCAGGCAGGCGCAGGGCCTCACGGAGGGCCGAGTGCGCGAGGGACACCTAAAATTTGAATTCCTTGTACTTCTTGCTGCCCCCACGGCTATCCTGGGGCTGAGCTTTCCGCTTCTTTTGCTACAGGGGAGAAAAAGAAACAGGTTACGCACGTTAATCCTCCCACGATCCCCAAATGCCGGTTGGTGCAGCCTGACACAGCCCTGGAGGTCCGGGTTCTGCCCCCACTGCCCCTGCAGACCCTGCTCCTGTGCCAGACCCTCTGCTGGCCTCTGTCATCCTCCCAGGGGTGCAGGGCGGCACGCTCGTCACTAGAGGGCACCCCGCACCAAGGCGCCCCTACCTTCTGTTTGGCCGCATGCTCGGCCACCATGTCACTGAAGTCTTCCTTCTCCACCTGGGCCTGCTGCTCCCGCACGTGCTCCTCGTACTTCTGGGTCATGGCCATGGGGTCCAACTCCAATTCCTCCGGGGCCAGGGCCACTTCCACCCCTTGCAGCTCGGGAGCTGGCCCCTTCCGGCTCATAACCTGCAAGAGACCCACGCCTGGTCATCTCCGAAGGGCAGCTCAGAGACCCCGACTCCTGTCCCAGGGTCCTCCTAAGCGCTCACCGTGGACATGTCATAAATGTGGGTGGATCCCATCATGGCTCCCCCGACAGTGGCCGTTCTCTTCTCTGGCAGCACGGTGAACAGCTGGGGCGTCTCGCTTCTGCAAAGGACAATGGGCTCAGGTCCCCGATGAAGGGCTCGAAGGGCCTCGGAGTGGGGAAGCGAAGGCCAAGGGCCGCACCTTCACCTGCTCGCTGGACAGGCTGAGAGACTCAAGGGGAAAGGGGACCCCAGGAGCTGCCACTGCAGGTCACGGAGCCCCGAGAGGAAAGATCTCAGTGGTGGGGAGAGGGACGGGGTCCTGCTGAATTTGGGGTGTCAGGAAGGTGAAGAGAGACTGACTCCGGGGACCCCCCCGAGCAACGTTCAGAGATCAGAGCCGGAGAGTTCCCCACAAACCCTTGGCAGGGAGAAACTAGCGGGAGAACGGACTGCCGGCCCCAGCCGGAGATGGAGTTCTAGTACACACAGCTTGGACTTCCAGCACTTTCTGGAACACAGAGTTATCCTCAGTCAAGTCTTCCCACCCAATTCAGGGGGGTTTCACATGAAACCCCAGAGAACAGCCCTGCGGCTTCCATAAACCCTTCCCATGACCCACCGACCCAATCCCTGCTCGCTGCAGTCCAGGCCCCGGGCCAGCCTTTTGTTTTCTCCTAGAATACGCAAAACCCAGACCTCTGCCAGGTGGACCCTCCCATTAAGTAAAGCGATTTTCAAATTATTGGGTCTGGGGTGACAAAGTACAGTGATATCTGAGGCAGGAAACAAACGAGGGGAGCACATCACAGCCTGGCCCGGAGCACCCGGAAGCACAGGACACAGAATGGAGCAGAGGAAGCAGCAAAAACCAACAACTCAAGAGGCCAGAGCGGCTCTTCCTGGTACCCGGGGGAGCACCGGGCAGAAAAGGCAGGAGAGAAGCACTCGCTGGCCCAGAGGGAGGGGTGCAACAGTGACTGTTGCAGCCCAGTTCCTGGCAGGCGCGCCCAGTCCCCCGAGGCAGGCGGAAAACCCTCCTGACTCTCCGGCACCGCAGGGGCAAGGGCTGGCACCGCAGGGCGGGGAGGGCTGCCTAGTGAACCCCACAGCAAAACCCGGGAGGACCAAACTGCTGGTGGCACTAACTAGAACCCTGAACGACGTTAAAGATTTACAGAGGGGCTGGAGCGATAGCACAGCGGATAAGGCGTTTGCCTTGCACGCAGCCAACATGACCGACACAGGTTCGATTCTCAGCACCCCATATGGTCCCCTGAGCACCACCAGGAGCAATTCCTGAGTGCATGAGCCAGGAGTAACCCCTGAGCATCGCCGGGTGTGACCCAAAAAGCAAAAAATAAATAAATAAAAGATTTACAGAATACAGAAGCATGCGGGAGCTGGAGAGTGCTGAGGGTCAGGTGTGGCACTTGACTGGCAAGCAGCTGACTAGGATGGCAGCTCTGGCACCACCGTCCCTGAGTGCTTCCAGGAGTGATCCCTGAGGACAGAGCAAGAAGCAAGACTTGAACCCAGCCGGGTGGGGAAAGACAAAAGTATGTGGGCTCCAAGTAAGTAGATTCCAAATTCTGGCACCCACCAAGAAATGCACAGGCTTGCAGAGAAGCAGGAAGGTGGATCCTTCAGAGAGAAACCACTGATTTCAATCAACCCAGAGCAGGCACAGATGTTAGCATTAGCAGGCGAGTACATTAAAATGTTATTATAACAGCACTCCATCTGTTCGAAGAGCAAAAAAAGACGCAGAAGATATAAAAAGAAGCGCACCACGCTGCCGAAGATGAAAATCACACTCGATGGGGCTTCTGTCAGATAGAAACTACAGAAAAAAATATTAGCAGACTCGAAGACATAGAAATAGAAATGGTCTAAAATTAGTTACAGGTGGGCTAGAGCGACAGTACAATGGGTAGGGCGTTTGTCTTGCACGTGGCTGACCCCAGGTTCGATTCCCAGCATCCCATATGGTCCCCCAAGCACTGCCAGGAGTAATTCCTGAGTGCAGAGCCAGGAGTAACCCCTGAGTATCGCCAGGTGTGACCCAAAGAGCAAAAAAATGATATAAATGAAATGAGTTACAGGGCCAGAGCAATAGTAGAGCGGCGAGGGCATTTGCCTCGCATGCAGCTTACCCAGGTTCAATCCCTGGTATCCCATATGGTCCCCCAAGCACCGCCAGAAGTAATTCCTGTGCCAGGAATAAACCCTGAGCATCACCAGGTGTGACCCAAAAAGCCCCTCCCTCAAAAAAGAAAGAAATTACAGAAGGGTTTTTTTTTTGGGGGGGGGGGTGTATTTTTGGGAGGCAGGCTTTAGGCCACATAGGGTGGTGCTTACTCTTGACTCTGCATTCAGGGGATCACTCCTGATAGGCCCAGGAGACCATATGGATACTGGGGATCAAACCTGGGTCAGCCATGAGCAAGATAAGCGCCCTCCCTGCTCTAAATCTCTCCAGCCCCAGAGGGTTTTCTTAAAAAGGGCATCTCCTGGCACTATTCGGCCAGCAGCACAGATGGTGTGGCACTTCAGCGACCAGCAAGGCTGCACCCACAGGCCGTCTGGGAGGCCGGGCAACGCAAGGGACGGAATCAGCCTCACACTGCTGGCACGTGCTACCACCAGTCCAGAAGAATGCACGTCAGAAATGAACAGAGCAGGGGCCCGGGATGTGGCTCAGTGGAAAGCATCTATTTGCCTTGCAAAAAAAGGTTACTGCTCGGGCTCTGGGTTTGATCCCCAATAACAGAAGAGGAAAAGGGGGGAGAAAGAACAGAACAGCGTAGGGGAAGGGGCTGCATGGTACACGCCTGACCCTGGGGTCAATTCCCAGCAGCCCATATGTCAGACTGAACCTTTTTTTCCTCTATGGGGAAGGGCTTGGGGCCACACCTGTCTCTGCTCAAGGCTTACTCCTGGCTGTGTCGGGATCGCTCCTGGAGGGCTAGGAGGACCATATGGGGTGCTGGGGACTGACCCCAAGTCAGCTGTGTATAAGACAGTGCATTCCTCACAAAAATAAAATCGGGGAGAAAATAAAGATCACCAGTTAGATGAGAAACTACAGGGCAACTTCAAAAGATCTAAGAAGGGGCTGGAGCAACAGCACAGCGGGGAGGGCTTTCGCCTTGCACGCAGCCAACCCGGGCATCCCACACGGTCCCCAGAGCACCGCGAGGAGTGATTCCTGAGTGCAAAGCCAGGAGTAACCCCTGAGCATCGTCAGGTGTGACCCAAAAAGAAAAAAAAAAAGATCTAAAAAAATCTTTAACTGGGGCTGGAGCAATAGCTGACCCAGGTTCAATTCTCAGCATCCCATATGGTCCCCTGAGCACGCCAGGGGTGATTCCTGAGTGCAGAACCAGGAGTAACCCCTGTGCATCGCCAGGTGTGACCCAAAAAGAAAAAAACAAATCTTTAACTGAAAATACTGAAATTCCCAAAGAGTTGGAAACAATAAAAAATATCTGGCCACAAAATATATATATATATATACACATACATACAGGGCTAAAGCACTTGCCTCGCACGCAGCCAACCCAAGTTAAATCCCCAGCACCCCATAAGGTCCCCCAAGCTCTGCCAGGAGTCATCCCTGAGCAGAGCCAGGAGTAAGCCCTGAGCACCGCTAGGCGTGGTCAAAAAAAAAACAAACAAAAAAAGTAAAGAGAAAGAAAATTGTACTGACATACTATCTCACACAGCACATTATAATCTAACTGTTCAAAACTGCAGAGAAAAACCGTGAAAAGCAGCCAAGGAAAAAAGACACACACATATATATATATAGAGAACAAAGGCAGGCCGGCACAATTTCTCATCAGAGAGAGCAAGAAAGACGCCCTGCGTGCAGTATCTTCACGGTAGAAAAATACTGCCAAGCCGGCACATGACTCTGGGCAAATTTTGCACAAGGAAGGTCAAGCGATTCAGGCTGTAAAAGCTGAACCAATTCACAGCCAGCAGACCTACCAAAAACACTGAAGGGGCCAGAAAGATAGTCCAGTGCGTTGTGTGCTTGCCTTGCATGCTGCCGACCAGGGTTCAATCCTGGCACCCGGAAGTTGTACCCAAGTCCCTTCAGGCATGATCCCTGAGCACAGCAAGTGTCGCCCAAAAACGAACGGACAAAAGTTAACGTTAAAGGAAGCCTTTCTGGCCAAAGGAGTAAATGCCAGGTAGAAACAGGAACACAAGCACACAAAAGGCCAAACACCACTGCCACCAGGCTCGTTCTCCACCGAGGGGGCCGTACTTCCACCTGAGATGTGCACTCGGGACTCGCCCCCATGGCTAAGCCCGGGTTCTCTCTTAAACTCACGGCTTTTCCTCCCCTCATTCCTCTAAGTGAACGTCTTTAAATAAAACAATTTTGTGTCACTCAAATAAAAAACACAGCAAGGAGTCCTTACATGGACTGTTTGTGGGTCAACAGACGATTCTTATTTAAATATCCCTAAAACATAACTGGCCCCTTAAAACCAGTAACCACTGGGGCCAGAGAGAGAGTACGGGGGTAAAGCACTCACCACGCATGCAGCCGTGATCACTGAGCACAGAGCCAGGAGTGTCCCCCCCCCCAAAAAAAAAAAGTAAGTTCATCTTTAAAAAGATCAGCTGAGGGACTGGAGAGATAGCACAGCGGGTAGGGCGTTTGCCTTGCACGCGGTCGACCCGGGTTCAATTCCAGCATCCCATAGGGTCCCCTGAGCACCACCAGGAGTAACTCCTGAGTGCAGAGCCAGGAGGAACCCCTGTGCATCGCCAGGTGTGATCCAAAAAGCAAAAAAAAAAAAATAAAAATAAAAAAATAAAAAGATCAGCTGGGGGCCGGTTGGTACTACAATGGTGAGGGCACATGCCAAGGGTTGGGGTGTCCCCGCACTGCGGGGCCCACGCAGAGCCAACCCCGGGCCCCTGCATCCAACCAGCTGCCCTACTGACCTGGACACGCCCAGAGGGGGCCTCCTCGAGGCCTCCTGGTAGTTGAGAGAACCAGCCCACCTTCCAAAAAGGTTCAGTTAACTCACAAGGTAAGAAGAAAGGAGAGAATGGACAAGGCTCATCCCCTTAGGGAAAGGGTTGATTCCCCACAAAGCCTAGCGGGGCGACAGTTACAAACCTGCAAACCCGGTGAGAGCCAGAGGCCCCAGCCCGACTACCCGGCTCTGAATGAGCAACTCACCTCAAGCCCACCTCAGGGCTTGCCAGGCCCCACCTCTGCCCCTCTCTGCCCCACCCACCCTGGAAATTACCCAGGACCTGCCCACTGCGCCCGCCTGATTCACCCCAACGATCCACTCCTAGAGAGGAACTGCTCTGGGGGGTCCAGGAGGAGACACCCCAGGTCACCATCCCGAGGGGAAGCGGAAGTCCTCCCCGAGGCCCAGGCTGGCCCCTCACCCGTCCATCGCCTCCTCGATCTTCTTCTTCCTCAACTCGATGAGCTCGGGGGTCTCCATTCCCGCCGGAACCGACGAGAAGCCTCCCGGAGTGATGAGGCCACTGAGGAGAAAGGAACAAGGTCCCACGTGAAGAGCCTGCCACGCGGGGCCGCCTCGCCCGGGAGGCCACGGCCACAGCGCACCTGTCCGCGGGGGTGATGAAGCCCGTCTCGTCCGGCTTGTCTTCGTCGCTCTCCTCCTCTTCCTCTTCCTCCGAAGACTCCTCATCCGACGGCTCCAGCTCCCCCCAAGGGGTCCGATCGATCTCTTCCTCCTCAGTCTTGGTCTGGAAAAGGCCACCAGCCCACAGACGGCTCACTGCTAAGTCACTACTATGCGTCGGGGCGAGTAACAGCCTGGGGGGGGGGACCGGAGCTCTAGGACAGCAGGGAGGGCCCTGGCTGGCCACGGTCTGACAAGGGTTTACTCCTGGACAACTCAGAGTTCCCTGAGCACCGCCAGGAGAGATCTCTGAGCACAGAGACAGGAGTATGCCCTGAGCACGGCCAGTTGTGGCCAAGGGGAATAAACCCAAAACCAACCACCATACCTGGAGCACATCTCAGCCTGCGGCACGCGCGGCTTCCTGTAACACGTCCCCAACTGCGTACTATCGGGACAGAGAAAGAGCAAGCCCGCACACAGGGGCCGTACCTGAAACTCGGCAGCGTTGGTCCCGAACACGTCCCCGTAGAGCGGCTTCCCCGTCTCATCGACCGGGGGTTTTCCCCAGCCTCCAGCGTGGTACCCGAAGGAGCAGCTCTGCAAGGCAAGGCAGCTGGGTCACGCCTCAGCTCAGGAGCCGGGAGCCCAGGGGAGCAGCCACGCCCAGGGCACAGCCACGCTGCACGGGACGCTGGGGACGGCGAGCAGTCAAGGCTGAAACACTGTGTAAAGCCAAGGGCACGAGCGACAGAGATGCAGAGGGGACAGGTAGGGAGCAGGGGGGATGGCAATAACCGTCGCCAGGGCCAAGCCATGCCACCATCTCAACACAACAAATACTTCAGGGGCCGGAGCGATAGCACAGCGGGGAGGGGGTCTGTTTTGCACGCGGTCGACCCAGTTCGATCCCCAGCACCCCATATGGTCCCCCAAGCCCGTCGGAAGTAATTCCTGAGTGCAGCGTCAGGATAAGCCCAAGCACCGCTGGGGCTGGGGGTGGCTGAGTGCCACCAGAACCAGAAGGCCCTCAGTGAAAACTAGCAAGAAGGGCACCCAGGCCGCCTCAGCATCCCAAGAGAAAAAGAACAAAGAAACAAGAACTTCAAAAATTACAACTTCTTGGGGCTGGAGCAATAGCACAGCAGGTAGGGTGTTTGCCTTGCACGCGGCCAACCCGGGTTCAATTCCCAGCATCCCATATGGTCCCCTGAGCACCGCCAGGGGTAATTCCTGAGTGCAGAGCCAGGAGTAATCCCTGTGCACTGCCGGGTGTGACCCAAAAAGCAAAAAGAAAAAAAAAAAAACTACAACTTCTTGGGGGTGGAGGGATAGCACAGAGGGTAGGGCATCTGCCTTGCACACAGCCGACCCGGGTTCGATTCCCAGCATCCCATATGGTCCCCCGAGCACCGCCAGGAGTGATTTCTGAGTGCATGAACCAGGAGTAACCCCTGTGCATCATCAGGTATGACCCAAAAAGCAAAAAAAAAAAAAAAAAAGACAACTTCTTACTGACCTTCCCTTATGCAGAAGAGCTTATAAAATCAAAGTCCCTAAAGAAACAAAAACCCTTTTCTTCTGGGGGGAGGGGGGAAAGCTCACAAGCTCCCAAGCAGTGCTCAGGAGCCCAAGGAAAGGGTGAGGGAAGGGGAGGGATGGAGCTGTAACACAGTAGGGAGGGCACCTCCCTGGCACGTGGCCCACCAGCTTTGACCCTGTATCCCACATGGTTCCCTGAGAGCAGAGCTGGGAGAAAGCCCCAAGCACCACCAGCTGCACCCCCAACACACGCCAGAAAAAGGAAATAGCAGGGGTCACTCCAAAGGACGCTGGCCCCAGCTGTGCAGGGGGAGGTTCAGACTGGGAGGTCACCAGGGTCACAGCCAGCAGTATGCAGGGTGCCAGGCAGCAGCCAAAACCAGGCGGGGGACAGAGGACTCGCCACACACGCACTCCAAACTTCTGTGCTAGTTCCGTGGGTCCAGGGACCAAAATCTTTATCTGCAGTTTACAAATGCCTTCTTGGGGGGCCAGACTGTTATTACAGCGGGCAGGGCTCTTGCCTTGCTCACAGCTGACCCGGAACCCCATATAGGTCACCAAGCCCACCAGGAATGAGTCCCGAGTAGAGTCGGAGGAATCCCTGAGCACCGCCAGGTGTGGACCACCAGAAACAAAAAGGCTTCTTATGGGGTCAGAGGAACAGTCAAGGGGTTCAGGCGCTTGCCCTGCACACAGCCATCCCCGTTTGGGTCCCTGAGCATCAGCAGGGACAGCGCTGGAGGCTCCCTGGCACCACTGGGCCGGCCCAGGTGCCACCAGCATCACAGGGCCCTCAGTGAGCTGCAAGTCGGGAGGGTGAAAACTGCCAGATGGGGACCCCAGGCCCCTACGGAACTCCCAAGAAAAAAATAATTAATTTCTTTTCACTTTACTGTCTTTGTTAACTTTTTACAAATCCTCGTAAATTAAATATACTATCTACTAAATTTTAACCCAACGATACTTATTTGATAACAAGTTTAATGTTACTCTTAAGTTACTTGTAGGGGCTGGAGAGATAATACAGCCGGCAGGGCGTTTGCCTTGCACACAGCCGACGCGGGTTCGATTCCCAGCATCCCATATGGTCCCCTGAGCACTGCCAGGAGTAACTCCTGAATGCAGAGCCAGAAGTAACCCCTGTGCATCATCAGGTGTGACCCAAAAAGCAAAAAAATAAATAAATAAATAAGTTACTTCTACCTGTTTGGAGGTTCTAGCAGCCCGGCAAGCTACCGAGAGTATTTGATATGCCAGACACAGTAACAACAAAGTCTCCAATGGAGACGTTACTGGGCCCGCTCGAGCAAATCGACGATCAACGGGAGGGCCTTTACCTTACCTTACCTTACTTCTACCTGTACGCTTGTTTTATATCCATGAGAGATACACAGAAACAAGCACCCAATCTTAAACGCTGTTATCACTGTGGGGGATTTCAGGACGGGTGCTTGCCTTGCAAACAGCTGACCTGGGTTCAATTCCCGGCACCCCATATGGTGCCCGAGCCCACCAGGAGTGACCCCTGAGAGCAGAGTCAGGAGTAAGCCACCCGTGCCCCCAAAACAAAACATACAAACAAGGAAACTGAGGATGGTCTGTTTCATCTTTCTACCTGTCGATTCTGACTATTTTCTGAACGTGTCGGGCTTGAGAGAGTAAGACAGAGACGCCAGAGCAATAGCACAGCGGTTAGGGCATTTGCCTTGCATGCGGCCGACACAGGTGCAATCCCCAGCACCCCAGGAGTAAGCCCTGAGCACGTTGGGTATGGGAAAAAGAAAGGGAGAAGGGAGGGAGGAAGGGAGGGAGGGGGAGAGAGAGAGAGAGAGAGAGAGGGAGAGAGAGAGAGAGAGAGAGCGCTGTAATGAGACACAGAGGCACTGAGAAGGCGAGGCTGGCGCTTACCTCAGGGATGGGCGAGTTCAGCCCCGGGATTTTCAGGTTGGGGTACGAGGGGGGTGGCCCGTATCTCTGCATGGCGATCAGCCACGGGGGCGGGACCTTGTGGGCATTCTGCAGACGACAGGGACAGGACCCATCAGCCCGCCGCAGTCTGGCCTCCCTCCCGCCCCGGCTCCACCCCAGGCAGGTCCCGGCACCCACCGGCCCCACGGGCATCCCCAAGGAGATCCGCAGCTCATCCGACAGGTCTCCGGGCTTCTTCTCCTTCAGCCGTGTTTCAAACTCCTTCCCCTGAGGAAAACAGTTTCTGCTGCATTGTGGTGACCGGACACGGGGGACTCAGCGACAAGAGGACGTGAGGGCAAAGATGGGAAGCTCCCCTTGAGGGCCGCCCCCGCCCTGGTTCCCATCACGTCCTTCCCTGGCTACGGAGGGGAAGGAGAGAGCTGGGAGGCGGGAAAGGTGGCGCCCGGGGAGAGAGAGAGCTGAGGGCAAGCGGCCTCCAGAGCTGCCACAACCCACCGTGACACCGCTGGACAGAAAACCTACTTTCCCGTGTCTAACGAGAGGGCACCCGGCACGGTGGGTCTCATATTCCAGGGTCAGAAAGAACCACACACCCACACCCCCAGGGACTGAACATTTCCAAACAGCACTTGCCAACGGCCTCTGTGACCCCCTTCAAGGTGGGGCCTGGGGGCCAGAAAGCTAGTACAGGCTAAGGGGGGAGCCCGGCCTACACGCGGGGGAACAGCGTTCCATTCCCGGTACCCCGGCAGGAGGGACCCCCCAGTACAGAGCCAGGAGCAGCCCTCAACACGCCAGGCGTGGCCCCGAAGGAGATGACCCAGACGCGGCCTGCTCCTCAGTGGCCTCCCAGGCTCGGACACCCCGGCCGGGCCCCGCACCTCGTAGTACAGGTCCCCGTGGATGGTGAGCTTGGGCTTGGTCTGCCACTTGAAGAAAGCGTCGTGCAGCTTCTGGTAGTCGATGTCGATCTTGCCCATCTTGGGCCGGACCTTCTCCCGCATCTTCGACTTCATGGTCTTCTGCTCCTCCTGAGGTAGACGCCCACACACGGGGTTCGATCACCCAGACCCTCCCCACGCACCCCGACGCCCCTCCATTCCCGAAATGCTCACTCAGGGGAACCTGTCCCCGAAGACCCCAACCCTCCCTGCTCACGGCCCCCCGAGGGCACATGAGGCAGACACGGCGCCACCTCCGCGGAGAGCAGGAGACTCCGACCGACGCAAAATCGCGGATGAAAACATTTCCACGTAACAAGCCGAACCACCACCATGAGCTCTGAACCACAGCAGGCACGCATGGGAGACATGGAGCAGGGCCCCAAGAGGCCCCGAGGAGGGGGATGTAACGGGACAGGCGGGGGTTGCGGGCGGAGCGCGGCCCCCGGGCCTCACCTTCTCCTGCAGGGCCTCCCGCATCTCCTGGATGCCCGTGCGCTTGATGAAGTCGGGCAGCTCGAAGGGCGGCTTCTCGATGCCGCGCTTGCCCTGCAGGTACTTGCGCTTGAAACACCAGTGGCGTGGCACCGGCACGGAATTCCGCGTGGCCTTGAGGTGGACCAAGAGCTTGGGGTCCTGGGCTGTGACGTCATGCATCTCCACGACATCGGGCCGGGCCACCAGCTGGAAAACACGACGGGGCACCTCGAGATCCTCCCTCCGGGCGCCTCCAAAGGCCCTGCCCGGCGGGGTCCCCGGAGCTCAGCTGGGGTCCCACCTGCTTGAGCTCGGCCACCGTGAAGCGGTTCATCCGGCGCAACTTCTTCTTGGACAGCTTGGCAGCTTCCGGCTTCTTCTCCTAGAACAGAACGACCACCTGTCTCTCCGTGTCTCTGTCTCTCTCCGTGTCTCTGTCTCTCCTGTCTCTCTGTGTCTCCATCACTGTATCTGTGTCTTTAGCTCTGTCTGTGTCTGTGTGTCTCTCTCAGTGTTTCTACCTCTGATTCTGTCTCTTTATCTCTGTCTCTGTATGTCTCTCTGTGTCTCTCTGTGTCTATGTCTACGCCACACAGTCTGGGACCACCTCCAGACCCGGGGGGTCAGAATGCTCAGCCCCTCCCCGGCGGGCCGCTCACCTGCTCGTCGTCACTGCTGTCATCGTCGCTGTCCCTGGGCTCCTCCTCAAAGCCCTTCTTCTTGGGGACGGTGGAGTTCTCCAGTTTGTCCATCTTCTCCGGCTCCTTCTCCTTCTCCTTCTTCACATCGTCGGTGAGCTGTGGAGGCAGCAGCCTGGAACCCCGAGCCCTGGGCCCCTCCCTCGTTCTGGCCCCGACGTCCCACCCTGCACCTGCCACCCCTCCCCGCCAACGCTACCTTGAAAGCCTCAAAGATCCTTTTGAAGAAGATGAAGTTGGGCTCGTAAATCTCTGGCTCCTCCGTCACGTACTCGATCTCCACGTCGGCGGCGGCGGGGGACTCAGAGCCCCGGGCCCGGGACTCTTTCTCGCGCTCCCCCGAGCTCTCGGAGGATGCCCCCCGCACCCGCTGCGGCTTCTTCTTCTTCTTGCGGTTGCGACGCTTCCGGTTTTTCTGCCCAATCAAGCCCCAGGGGTCAGAACCCGAGCGCGCATCTGTCCTCCGAGTCTCCCCAAGCGGCCAGGAAGCCTCGCGGTCGGGTTGCAAAGCTCCGCCCTGACAGGCCGCAGGTGGGTCCTAACCCACCCGCCACGCGCCTCCCAATCCCCGCCGGGACCTGGACCCTGGACGGCAAAGGGCTGACGGCAAAGGGCCGACGGCAACGGAAGGAAAGCGGCGGGGCGGGAAGCAGGAACTGGGCCGCTGCTCCAGAACCACTTATGGGCCCGACATCAGCGGCCAAACCCCACGCCAGGCCCCCCACGCCGGCTCCGAGCCACACCTCTTTCCTGGACACGGACACGGTGTCCTCCTCAGGCTCCGAGGCCGATGGGCCCAGGGACGAGCGCGCGTCCGTCTCCATTTCCTCTTCCTCTGTGAGGGCGAACGCAGAAGGCGGCAGCCAGTCACTCCAACACCCTCGGAACCAGGCGCAGCTCCCACCCGCCACCAGGGGCAGGGGCACGCCCACGCCCACACTCGTCTCGCCTCAATTCCCTGTACACACACACACACGCTCTCTCTCTCTCCTCACTCTCCTGTAAATGCACACACACGCGCGCACTCTCTCTCACACACACACACTCTCAGCTCAGCTCCCCCATACACACGCACACACACCGCGTGCGCACACACGCACTCAGCCTCGCCTCAGTTTTGTATTTTTTTTCTTTTTCGGTCATACCCGGCAACGCACAGGGGTTTCTCCTGGCTCTGCACTCAGGAATCACTCCTGGCGGTGCTCGGGGGACCATATGGGATGCTGGGAATCGAACCCGGGTCAGCCGCATGCAAGGCAAACGCCCTACCCGCTATGCTATTGCTCCAGCCCTGCCTCAACTCTTTACCGCACGCACACACACTCAGCCTCATCTTGGCTCTCACCCTGCTGGGAGTTCATCTCCTCCTGGCGGCTCTCCTTCAGCTGCAGGATCTTCTCCAAAGCCTGTGGGATCTTGGGGCCCACAGAGGGGTCGTCCATCTACCAGAAAGAAGCGGGGGGGTGACTGTGGTGCCCCCCCTCCCACACTGCAAAGGTTTCTGTCTACAGGAACTGTAAACAGACCCAAAGCCCCCAGCATCCCCGAGGGGACCCCAGAAATAAGCACCTCTCTGACCTTCCTTGCTGCCCCACTGAAACACACTCTAAGCACGGCCTCGCCCCGTCCCCCAGGACCCTCCCGTCCGACCCTCCGCGGATGACAGCTAGTGACCTTCCAAACTGCCCCAGCCCCCAGAAGGGCGCCCCCACCATACGCCACCTGGGCCCTAGGCGAGCCCAGGGGAGCTCCCCCCGTGGGGAGCAGCTGCAGCCCAGAGATAACGGGAGCAGAGGGGTGCGGGGACGCAGTGTCTGCTGGGACCGGAAGGAACGCTGAGGCGCCTTCCCAGCAGGACAGCAGACACAGGCAAGCCGCCTTTCAGGCACACAGGGCCCCCCGGAGACCCCCAGGACTAGCCCCCGCAACTCTAGAACTAGAATCAGAAAGCCACTCAATCCCGCCCCCAAGACGTGACTAGGCTCACCTCTCTGTTCTCATCCCCGGGGGGCGGCGGGGGTCCACGAGGCCGAGGAACAGGGGCCCCCATGGGCAACACCGTGGGCGTGGGGACCACTGGGGCAGCGACTGAGAGGAACGGGGAATCAGAAGAGAGAAACATCTGGAAATTACATTCCCGAGGAAGAGATGGCGGAGGGGGGAGGGGCAGTGACACTGCAGGGAGGTGCAAGAGCACTGCCCGCAGAGCACATCCTCTGGCTTTCGGGGGGCTGGAACAGGAATCACTCCCAGGCTTCACCTGCCTCTGACGGCGACACACGTAGTACCAGTAGCATGAGTGCATCACCCCAGGACTGAGCACCAGGGCCACATGCTGTGTCTGTTTTGGGGCCACACCCGGCGGGGCTCAGGGAACCAACTGGGGTACTGGGGGCCGAACAAGCGCCCGACCTGCCGTGCTGTCTCCCAGCTCCCTGAGCTTAGGAATTCACTGTGAGCGACCCCCAAGAGACAGCCAAGAGTTGCCAAGGGGGGTCGCTGAGTACACTAGCCACCCCCAAAACACCCGCTCGAAAACCAGGTGGCTGCTAGCCTTCAGGGGACGGGGATCGAGAATGGGAACCGGGAGTGCTTCGGAGGTGCTGGTCAGGTGGATTCTTGGCCAAGACCTGGTATACGGACATTCGTGGCATCTGCCCACTTAGGAGGTGGCACTTGACACGTGGACGGTGAACAAAACCTGCTTCGTCACCTTCTTTGCTTCCCCTTCCACTTCAAGAGTCTTACCTCGAGGACCCAGCGGGGTGCGGACCCCAATCTGGCCCAGGTCTTGTGGGGCTCGAGGAACTGGGGTGCCCATCTTGGCGATCTCCTGCTGCCGCTCCTGTTCCAGTAGCACGGCGGCCTAGAGGAAGGAAGTGGGTGTGGGGACCACCGGGTCATCTGTGTGGCACTAAGGCCCTGGCCAGTGGGCCTCCAAGCTGGCTACGAGGCCCCAGAGAACAATCAGGCTCCAGTGCAGTGGCCGGCGCCTCCCACACACCCAGACCCTACCCCAGGCCGAGAGCCCTCTCGGCACCCAGGACAAGGCCTCCAGACAACACCCCGGAAAGTTCTGGTTCTTGGCACAGAATGGAATATTTGGCTGAATGCTGCTTATAACTTAAAACAAGAGTTTTCTTGTTTCTGTCCTCCCCGCAAAGATTACACTCTTTCTAAGGAACAAGGAATTCTTTTTTCCTTATCTACCCCTCGAGATCTAGCCCGAGCTGGCTAACAAACTGTCTGGTACAGTCCGTGTTTATTTTCTAACCTGCCTGAGAATAACCCATCAGATAACACCCGCAGCTCTGGGGCTCAATTACCAGCCGCAAACGGGATCCTTCACTCGGTGTTCAAATCCAACACGGAGTTAGCCCAGAATTCTCTCAGGGCACTTACACTGGCAACGCGCGTTTCCCACAGTCGCGAGCCACTCTTTCAGGTATTACCGGCCACTGTGTGGCGACCCTTGTATATTCTTAGTATTCTGCTTTGATTTCTATCTTTCAACAATGCATTAAAAAAAAAAAAAACACCTTAGCTCACGGGCCATTCACAGGCACAAGGCCGAATCTTCCCAACCCCCTGGACAACAAAAAAAACGACTCATCAGGGGCCAGAGTGATCATTCATCCAAACACAGCTCACCCAGTTCAATGCCCCGCATCCCACATGGTCCCCCAGCACCGCCAGGAGTAATTCCTGAACGCAGAGTCAGGAGAAAGCCCTGAGCATCGCCGGGTGTGACCCCAAAACACAACAAAACAGACTCAGCCAACAATCTGGAACTTAGTTTAGAGCGGGGCAGCCCCGGGGCGCTTTGAGCACAAAGTCCCCCAAGTGGCAGCAAGGGGACTGGACATGGGCCCCGCACGCCGTTGCTCCCCACGCTCATGTCCTTCAGGGGGTGCGCCCCGGCTTCAGAAAGAAGCACACTCATACCACCCCCAATAGCTCCATCGCTCTGTCACGGAGCCACTTCCTGGGGTGCTCACGCGGCCCCGGGCCTACATTCCCGTTCTTGGTGCAGCCCTTCCCGGAGGCCGCAGCCTCAGCCCTACCTGCTTCGCTCGCTCCTCCTGCTGCATCAGCAACGCCGCCTGCTGCTGGGCCAGCTTCAGCCGCTCCTCCTCGGTCAGCGCCACCGGCTCGCCCACCCGGAGAGGCGGCGGTGGACCCAGGTTTGGCGGGCGAGGTCCAACTGCCATGGGAAAGCCAAGGCCGAGGCCGGGGGGCGGCGGGGGTGGCGGGGGTGGCGGCTGCAGAGGGGGCAGCCCCATTGGCGGGGGCGGCATGGGGATTCCCGAGAGCTGTGGAAGGAAGCAGGACCTGAGCCAGGAAGCGCCGCCAACAGGGGCCTGGCCCCTCGGGCACGAGCACCCAGTGGGCACCGGGGAGCCCAGAGGCCTGCACACGAGCTGGCACGGGGCCTGGCTTCTATGTCGAGCAAGGGAGGGTCCCCAGGCACGGAGCTGAGAGTAGGCCTGTGTCGCCCCCCCCCCCCCAGCCTGCAGGCTCGAGGACCAACATAAACCAGAGCCCACAGGCTCGGCTGAGTCGCCAAATAGCGGCGCTATGAGACCAATCAGGGACAAAGGGGGATTACTCCCACTGGGGGGCCGATCAAGCCAAGCAGCCCCATGGTTGAACTTCTGGGGGGAGAGTGGGGAGGGCAGCGCTCAGGAGACCCCATGTGGTGCTAAAAATCAAAGCAGAACACACTCTAGGCAAGACGTGGTTCTGTTCCGTTTCTCTGGCCCCCAACTCTTATTCTGTGGCTTCTGAACAGTTTTCTTTGGGGCCCACGCTATGTGGGGGGGTCTACTCCCATCTCAGTGCTCAAGGATTGCTCCCAGCAGTCAGGGGACCATGCGATGCTGGGATCAAATCTAGGGCTCCCACATGCAAAGCTCGCACTCTAGGCCTTTGAACTACTTACCTGGTGCGAGCTTAACTGTATTTTACCCTTTTTTTTGGGGGGGAGGGCACACCCAGTGGTGCTCAGGGACTACTCCTAGCTTAGTCTTCTAAGGAACTGCTCCCACAGGTGTTCAGGGTTCAAATCCAGGTCTCCTGCACAGAGAGCCTGAGGTGCCGCTTATTGAGTGACCTGTCAGGTCCCCTGAGGTGAATCTGTAGTAACAGGTAAAACTTGTAAGAGCCAACTTTAGGGAGGGACACGGGGCTTAGGACCAAGGGAGAAATAAAGGCAGTACCGCCTCGGCCAGGGTGTTCGCTGCCTCTCTGGGCGGCTGCCTGGGAGAGAGGGCTTTCTACAATTCATATGAAGTCACAAAACTCCACGTGAAGATTGCAAAAAATCTTTACTATTTTTTTTGTGGGGGGGGGGGCCAAAGAGATAGTACAGTGAGTAGGGCGCTCGCCTTGAGCACAACCACCCTGGGCTCCACTCCCAGCACATGTAGGACCCCCGTGCCCTACCAGGAGTCATTCCGGGGCAGGGGCATTTTGGAAAACCTGCGCACCAGCAGGTATGGCCCAAAAACAGATTGAAATGGGCAGTGATCAATAGCGACGTGATAGATCAACAGTGACGGCTGCCAGAGCAATAGGACACCAAGAAGGGCGCTTGCTCTGCACACGGCATGCCAGGATTCAATCTCTGGCCCCCCATAGGGTCCCCCAGGCCCGCCAGGAGTGAGCCCTGAGTGCAGCGCCAGGAGTAATCCTTGAGCACTGCTGGGTGTGGCACAAAAACACAAAAGCATGTATACATATGTATTTCGTATATATGTATGCATATGCGTATATACATACCTACATATATACACAAGTCAAAGGACAAGTCAAAGGACTATCTACTGCTGAGCCTGGAGCTGCAGACAGTAACTTAAGGTTCTTTTCCTACATGTGGCAGACCCTGGTTTGATCACTGGAACCATATATGGTCCCCCACGCACTACCAGGAGTGATCCTTGAGCACAAAGTCAAAGCCTAGAGCACACAGGAACCAAAAATCAAAAAGAAAAAAATTTTTTTTGTTTTGTTTTAGGGGTAGAAATATATGCAGGGGTTAAGGCACTTACCCTGCATGCAGCCAACCTCAGTTCAATGTCTAGAACTACATATGGTCCAAGAATGCACCGCTCTGTGTGTGTGTGTGTGTGTGTGTGTGTGTGTTAAATAAAACTGCTTTAGAACCAGGGAGAAAATAATAGGATTTAAAGTGCTCGTCTTTGGGGGCTCAAGTGATAGCACAGTGGGAAAGGTGATTCGTCTTAAATACAGTCGACCTGGGTTCGATCCCCAGCATCCCATATGGTCTCCCATGCACTGCCAGGAGTAATCCAAAAAGAAAAAAAATAATTTTTTTTTTAAATTGCTTGTGTTGGGGCTGGAGAGACAGCACAGCGGGTAGGGCGCTTGCCTTGCACGCGGCAGACCCGGGTTCGATTCCCAGCATCCCATATGGTCCCCTGAGCACCGCCAGGAGTAACTCCTGAGTGCAGAGCCAGGAGTAACCCCTGTGCATCGCCAGGTGTGACCCAAAAAAGCAAAAAAAAAAAGGGTGCTTGTGTTGGGGCTGGAGTGATAGTACAGCCAACGAGTGGGGTGTTTGCACTGCAACAAGAGGCTGATACAGGTTTGATCCCTGGCACCGAGTATGGTACCCTGAGGTTACCAGGAGTGATCACTGAGCACAGAGCCAGGGGTGAGTGTGGCCCAATAACAAAACACAACAACAAAAATGAATAAACAAAGCGCTTTCCTCCCACACAACTGACCGGTCTGATCCCAGGCAGGAGGCCCCGGTCCACACCAAGAGTGAGGGGGGGGGGGCGAGTTGAGCCAGGAGGCAGGAGCACTGCCAGATGTGGCCCAAACCCTCCACGCCACCCCTAAGACTTTGAGGGGGCCAGGGAGATGGCTGGACAGGCTGAGTGCTTTACACTCAGGAGACCCCGCTCAATGTTCAGCACCCCTGGGGAAGCAGCCCCTGGGCATTGCAGGGCCTGGCCCCAAAAGGAAAACGGATTTTTAAAGACTGTCACTGTCCTCCCGTCGCTCATCAATTTGCTCGAGCGGGCCCTGGAGCACTGTGAGACTGTGACTGTGTCTGGCATAAAGCGAATATGTCACGGGGAGCTCGCCGGGCTCTCCGAGAGGGGCGGAGACTATTCTTTAACAGTCAGTTCGTGTTTGATTTGTCGCGATACCTCCGCGCCCATCAGATAATCTGAGCGTGGACAGGAAGGACCAACAGGTCACGCCGGAGAAGGCGGGCGCGGCCAAACCCGGCGCCGCTCCCCCCTTACCTGCGCCGACATGGGCGGGGGCGCCGCTTTGTCCCCATCGTCGCCTCTCAGCACCGGCCGATTCAGCACGATGCCCGTCTGCAAGGGAAAGGGCGGCCGGTCAGCGCCAGGGCGGTGGCCCCACGACACGCCGGGTCGCTCACGCGCACGAAAGCGACGCGGGGCGGCGGGCAGGACCGACACGTGCGGACGGACGCGAAGCCGAAGCCCCCGCGCCCCGCCCCCGCGCTCACCTGGCGGGTGTAGGTCTGCAGCCGCTCCACCAGCTCCTCGCGACTCCCTGCTGGGCAAAGCACAGGAGCCAGCGGGCAGGTCAGACGGGCCGAGCCGCGGGCCCGAGCCGGGCCGACAGGCCCGCCCCCCGCCCCGGGTCTCCGGGGAAACCGGCCGGCGCCGCCCGCTCCAGACCTCTCACTGCTCCTCACCTTGGATCGGCGCCCCGATCTCTACCAACTTAGCCTGAAGCTCCTGGGCAGCCCAGGCGCCATAGTGTCCGGGGGGCGGCGGCGGCGGCAGCTGCAGCTCCCCCTTCGGAGCCTCGGGATGCTCGGCCGCCATCTTAGCCGCAGGAAGGCGCGCGCCGAGCCCGGAAGCCCAGGCCCGCGTCCCGGAACTTCCGGCCGCGCCGCACGTCACGCCCGCCCCCCGGCGTGGAAGGCCGTGGCGAGGGAGCCCCGATGGGGAAGCCTGATTCGCCGGCGACGCGAGCCCGCCTGGTCGCGAGGCCTTCTGGGAGTTGTAGTCCACCTGGGTGCGGCGGCGCCTACCCACGCGCGCGCGCCAGTTCGCGGAAGCCACCGTGGGGGCGGGGCTGTAGGACGAGCCGGCCCCGCCCCGAGGGCGTGGCTTCGGCGCGTTCGCCGCGCGGCGGAGCGGGGCGCCCAGGTGCCCTGGAGAGGCCGGGATGGTTGAGTTCCCAGGAATTCCCGGGGGCCCCATTCCCCCGGTGGCCGCGCATTGCGGGCGCCAAGCGGGAGATGCAGCCGATGCCTGTGATAAAACAGTGTCTGATTGTCTGCCCGCCCGCCCCCGGCCCAGCCATGGATGAATGGATTGAAAGGGGATCGGGTCCGGAGCCGAGCCCGCCCGCCCGGGCTGAGCTCCAGCTGCCGACCTGGGGGAAGGGCAACACTAATAAAGCCCCTTTTTCCACCTTCCCGGCTGATTCAGATGTAGCCTCTGCGAAGTCTTTTCCCTCCCACTTTAACTTTCTTTCCTTGGAACTCCAGGGTGTGTTCAAGCTTCCACCTTCTGCCCAAACCGCACCCTCAAGAACAAAACGGAGACGGACCATGTCGCCCCCAACCTGGACGCTCTCAGTGAAGATTACCGGGCAGGAGGGGTGGCAGTAAACGGTGCAGTTCCCACGACAGAATTTGCATTTGTTGTTGTTGGAGGTGGGGGGCAGGGGGCATACCAGCGATGCCCAGGGGTTACTCCTAGCTCTGCACTCAGGAATCACTCCTAGGTATGCTTGGGGACCATGAGATGCCCGTGACCAAACCCAGGTCAGCTGCTTGCATGGCAAGTGCCCTACATGCTGTGCATGCTATCGCTCCCGTCCTACTCTTTTCTATATTTGTCTCAAAAAAGCAAATGGGGGCAGACCCTGCCATGCCTCTCTAGCCCTCCGGAAGCCGGTGCACGGGGGCGGGTACCCCTTGACCACCCGCCTTGTCCCTTGTCCCTTTTCTTTTTTTTTTTTTTGGTTTTTTGGGTCACACCTGGCGATGCACGGGGTTACACCTGGCTCTGCACTCAGGAATTACCCCTGGCAGTGCTCAGGGGACCATATGGGATGCTGGGAATCGAACCCGGGTCGACCCGGGTTGGCAGCGTGCAAGACAAACGCCCTACCTGCTGTGCTATGGCTCCAGCCCCCACCTGTCCCTTTTCTGACCCTGCAGGTCTTTGCCCTCCCGCCCTGCCCCTAGCTGGGCCCTGTGCTGACAGCCAGGCTCAGCGTTGGTTGGGCAACACAGCAGTCATCTCATGCCTTCACATGCCGCACATCTCTCCGTTTTTCTCTAACAGGCTCCTGTCCACTGAGCAACCACAACAGAATATGAGGATCCAGGAAAGACTTAGGAAAGACACAGTGGGGGCCCGGGCCAAGATGGTCCCTTGACCTCCTTGTCCCAACACGGAAATGCTCTACTGCTACACCCAGCAGGGCTCAGGGCTAATTCCTGATTCTGTGCTCTGGGATCACTCCAAGGGGAGGGGGACTGCGCAGGGGACCATGAGTTGCCGGGGATCAAATCCGGCTGACCACTTGCAAGGCGAGCCTCTTACCGGCTGTACTTTCTCTCCAGCCCCCATTTCCGCCAAATCTTGACCTTTTCACTCTCTGCCACTGCCACCCCCGCACCCCCCATTCCCAATCTCCTGTCACCCAGAGGAGAAACTGAACCCAGATAGGACAGAGAAGCCTGCAGGGGTGTGCTTCTCTCCAGCCTGGTTGCCCACTCACGTGGAAACTGTTCTGGACCCAAAAGAAATTTCTTTCTGATCCCTGTAATCAGAGAGCTCCTGGAGGAGGCCCTAAGGTATGAATAAGGGGGGGTTGGGGGGCTGGCGTGCACCTGATTTTCTGAAACTGATAACTAAGAGCTGACAAGGGCTGACAGGGCCAGAAAGAGCCTGGCCAAACGGGGCCTTATTTTATCCTAAGAGCTGGAACCCAAACAGGGCAGGGGCCTCCTCCCTCGGACCTGCAGATGAGCATGGAATGGAAGACCCAGACTCCTCCTTTATTTCCACCTCTAGGTCTTGACTGTAGTGGGAACCTCAGAGCGAGGCTGCCCTGAGGGCGTGTGAGAAGCCACTCTGGGGTCCCCAGAGGCTCCCAGGCAGCCTGCCTGGGGTTTGGCAAGTGACACAGCCTGTCTGGAGGCTGCGCCGGCCCCAAAGGTGCAGTTCTCATCTAGAGACAGCCTGCGTGCTTTCTTCTAAGGAAACCTCTTTTAATCATTTTTAGCAGATCATTCATAACGAGACATACAAAATAAATTGTTTAGAGCCTGCTATTGGGGCAGGCTTGGGTGGTGGTTGGGAAAATTCAAAATAATGGTGGTGGGAAGGTGTAACAGTGGTGGGACTGGTGTTGGAATATTGAATGTAACAAATTATTGTGAACAACTTAAAAAAAAAAAGGGGGGCTGGAGAGATAGCACAGCGGGTAGGGCGTTTGCTTGGCATGCAGCCGACCCGGGTTTGATTCCCAGCATCCCATATGGTCCCCTGAGCACCGCCAGGAGTAACTCCTGAGTGCTGAGCCAGGAGTAACCCCTGTGCATTGCCAGGTGTGACCCAAAAAGTAAAAAAATAAATAAATAAATAAAGCTGACCTGCCCCAGGGCTGAGCTGTGAATACAAATCCGATCTGATCCGTGCCTTACCAGCCGGTGAGAACAGGTACTGAGTGAGGGGCTTTCTGTGCCTGGGATGGTGGGAAACGGTGAGTCAAGACTGAAGCCACACTCATTCCTACAGCCAGGTTCGTTCGCTGCAGGGAAGAAACAAGAGCAAGTCAGAGAAATAAAGAACGGTGACCCTTGTGGTTAAGGAAAAGCCACTGAAGAGTGATGGGCCAGCCGGAGAGACAGTCCAGCAGGAAGGGCACTTGCCTTGCATGCAGCTGACCTGGGTTCAATCCTCAGCGTTCCCTAAGCCCCACCAGGAGTGATCCCTGAGCTCAGAGACAAGAGTAACCCTGGAGCATTGCCAGGTGTGCCCCCCTCAGCAAAAAAAAAAAAAAAAGAAAGAAAAAAAAATCACCGGTTGGAGATAGTACAGTGGGTAGGGTGCTTGCCTTGCATGCAGCCAACCTGAATTCAATACCTGGCACCACATAAGGAGCCCTGAGCACCAAGCCAGGAATAAATTCTGAGTCCTGCCTGGTGTGGCACTGAAAAAAAAAAAGATGTTTCAACAAGGGCGATGATCAATATTGATTGACATGTTAGAGGACCCCCCCCCCTTGGTTTTTGGGTCACTCCTGGCTCTGCACTCAGGAATCATTCCTGGCGGTGCTCAGAGGACCATATGGATGCTGGGAATCGAACCCGGGTCGGCCGCATGCAAGGCAAACGCCCTACCTGCTGTGCTATCCCTCCAGCCCAGGACAGGTGGAGGGATAGCACAGCGGTAGGGCATTTGCCTTGCACGCAGCCAACATGGCCAACCTGAGTTCGATTCCTCCGCCCCTCTCGGAGAGCCCGGCAAGCTACCGAGAGCATCTCCCCTGCACGGCAGAGCCTGGCAAGCTCCCCGTGATGTGTGCGATATGCCAGACACAGTAACAACAGTCTCCAATGGAGACGTTACTGGGCCTGCTCGAGCAAATCGATGATCAACAGGACAGTGACAGTGATGTTAGAGGACAATTTTATTACCGATCTTGGGGCAGTACAGCGGTTAACGTTGCCTTGCATGTGCCAAACCCTGGTTTGATACCAGGCACGACATATGGTCCCCCCAAAACGGTCAGGGGATGATCCTGAGCCCAGAACCAAGAACAGCCCAAGAGCACGGAAGGCTGTGGCCTCACATCCCCCAGTCCCGTCGCCCGCTCGCCCAGCAGAAGCAGGTAGGCGCTTCTGCACGGCGAGAACCAGCCTCGGTGCTCGCCGTGGCGGCGTCTGCTCTGAGGCTAACCCTCCTTCCACAGCTGGGTCTAGACCACATTTATCCTGGGTGTTCGCCGGCTCGGCACGCGGGCGTGGGAGGAGGCGCGGCTGCCGGGCTCCTGGCGGCGGGGCCTAAGGGCTCGGAAAGCCGCAGGAGCTCCGGGACCACCCCCACGGCGGCGCGGGAATCTGCTCGGAACAGCCGCCGGCAGCGGCGCGGGCAGAGCGGGACCGGGTGGGCCTGGGGGCCGCCGGGTCCCACCGCGGAGCTCCGGGCACGAGTGAGTGGGTGTCGGGTCTTGGCGGGGAGACTGGCCGGGTCTGGGGGGGAGTGTGGGGGGACCTCCGGGCTGAAAGGAGAGGCTGGAAGCGCCGCGCTTCCCCGGTGCAGGGGGGAAGGGGCGGGGGAGGAGGGGATCGGAGTGGGGGGGGCTGCTGCTGGCGGATGGACCCGTGTCCCTCCCCTCCCGCCCCCCAGTCCGCGAGCAGAGGCCCCCCGGCACGCCAGTCATGCTGGAGCATCGGGCACGTTCTTGCCCTTCCGCGCGCGGCGCTGCCCGCCTCGCCGCCCACCCCCCGGCCGCCCCTCCCCCGAGCGCAGCCCCTGCCTCCGCCCCGCCTCCGGGCCGCGGTGCGCTGGGGGCCGGCGGCGGGCAGAGCCGGGAGCCGCACGGAGCGGGCGCCGCCACCTGATCCCGGCCGGGCGCGCGGGGCTCGGGGGCGCACAGGGCCCGGGCGCGCTCCGGGCCGCCGCGGCTCCAGACAACGGGGGCGGGAGGCAGCGGCGCCCCCCGCCCCCCGCGCCCGCCCGCCGAGGAGAGCGCGCGGCGTGAGTACCGCAGTGGCCGGCCCGGGGCGGGGGCGCGGGGCGGACGGACGGGGATGGGCGGCTGGTTGCCCGCCGAGCAGGAGTGGGGCCTGGGGGGCTGGGGGGCTGGGGGGGCTCTGGCTGCCTCCTAGGGTGGCCACATCTCGGGAGGCTGGGGTGCAATTGAGGGACTGGGGGCTAGTGAGAGGAGGAGGAGGAAGAGGTGGCAGGGATGAGCGGAGGTGGCTGTCTGGGAGGGGGTCTGGCGAAGAAACGAGGGGACTAGACAGATTTGAGCGCCGGGGCTACTATTCTGCACCCCGGCCCGCGGCCCCTTCATTTCTGGAGTCCGCTCCCAGCCCCTGCCTCCCAGCCCTCCTCTGGGAAGCCGGCTCCGGGTCGCAGCCGAGCTACGGTGCGGGGCCAGGGCATCCTCCAGATGCACCCCTAGGCGCCCTGGAACTGGGTGGGGCTACGGAAGGGGCTCTCTGGCACCCAGGGGGGTCCTCAGAGCTCTGGTCAAGGGGGGCCAGTTCCACCAAGGTTCCCTGGAGAAAGGAAAGCAATTTGCAAGGGCCCAGAGAAGTAGATTGTTCGGACTAAAATTAGATGTTCTGAGTCCAAGGAGGCTGTTACCCTGTCCTGCTGGAGAAGCCTAGACCACCCCCCCAGCCCATGTGGTGGTGGGGGGGCGACAAGGGCCAGCTAGCACGTGGGCTCGGTCCACACATGTCCAGAGTCGTGCACAGCTGAGGGGCAGCTTCCGTGAGCTGGTGGAGGGTGTGGGGGCCCCTTTCTCCGGGGGGGTGCTCAGAGCGAGTGGGACAGGAGGTGCAGATGGTGGCCACATCTCACATGCGGTGGCAGCTGCGCCCCTGCTCCCGCCCACGGTCGTTCTCCACAGAAGGAAGGTGGAAGCCTGAGTGGCGAGTGTCCAAGTCAGCGAGTGGAGAGAAACGGCCTGATGGGGCTGCCCAGGGCAATTCAGGTGGCCCCGGGACAGCCTCGCCGGGGTCCGAGAGCTCGCACCACCCCGGACCCCCGCGGCCGCAGATTCTGTAAGAAATCACCAGTGCTTGTTCATGTGGAGTCGGGCGCCCACGGGGGCTGCTTCGGGGAGTCACTGCCCTGCGCCCCTTGAGCTGGCCTGGGGGGGGGGGGAGCTTCCCCTAGGCCTGACCTACTTGCTAAGCTACGCTTCCTGCAAGTTTCGCAGAGCCAGGAATAGGCAGCTTGCCTCGCCCCCTTGGGGAACTTCCTGAGGGCCCTCAGTAACTCAAGGCCAGGGGTGCCAGCCAGGGAAGGAGGCAGCGTCCTGAGAGCGCCCCCAGCTCCTCTTGCAGACCCCACCCAGATGGGGGCCGTCCTCCCGAGGCTAATCCCGTGGTCTCCTTGGTCTTCCTCTGTCCGCTGTGGCTGGAACCCTGTCCTTGGCCCCAGCAGATTAAGCCCGTCTCCAGGTGGGTTCAGAGCCCGGGAAGAAGGGAAAAGCCTAACGGGGATTTCTTTCCACCCAAACAGGTTTAAAGGTAAACCAGGATTAGGGGGACCGGACGCCAAGCTCAGGGCCCCAGAACGAGCGACTCCCGCTATCATATTCCCCGCAGCCCCCCTGGGACCCGAGTGGCCCAGTTCCATTTACATGCGGGCCACCGGCGCTGTGCTCTGCGCCCCTTTGGAGGGTTGTCGGAGGCTGGGCCCTGGCACCAGAGGCCTCCTCGGGACAGGCACCCCGCCACCCCTCCAGCCAGGGCCCCAGACCCACCTGCTCCGGGTGCAAAAGCTCCCCCTTCCTCCTCGTGCCCTGGCAGCCCTCCCCCTGCTGCCACCCCGCCAAGGAGAGCAGGTCTCAGGTGTCTGGGGAGGGGACCCCAACAGAGTTTCGGGATGTCAAGTGTCCCCTTTCTGCCCACCAGCCCCCCGCAGGGACGCGGAGTGCGGCTTTCTGGGGAGGCAGCCTGGGGAATATCTCAGGACCTGGACTGGGGGATGGGCTGGAGCAGGTCAGACCCCCACTCCTGGGGCGTGCCTGCCATGAGTCCTGCCCGGGGTGCAACAGGCCCGGATGGCACAGGGCCTGGGTGGCACAGGGCACACACGCGTGGCTCCGGCCCCGTGTCAGACTCCTCAGGGCCTGCTCCGTGCTGTGGGGAGTGCGGACAGAGCCACCCAGGGCTCCGGGGGGATGGGGAGGTCCCTCACGGACACTTCAGGGGCTGAGGCAAGGCCACCAGAGCCAGAGACAAAGACGCCTTCAGGCGGGCACAGAACCAGGGCTTAGGGGAAGGAGTGGCCCTGCCTGTAATTCCACCCGAGACCCAGTTATCAGGAGCCACGTGGAGATAGGGTTGTGGTGACTGGAGGGAGGAATTTGATCTTCCCTGGCCTCGCTCTCACCCCGAGCCCGGGTCTCGCCTTTGCGGCCGCCCTGCCAGGGCCCGGCGTCCACCTCCTCTGCCCACGGCAAACCTGTTGGCTTCCTCCTCCTGCCAGGCCTCTCGGGAACGCTGGCCCTGCTGCCGGAGCCCCAGGAGCCCCCATGAGCGCCGGCGAAGGGAGTCCTGGCTAGCGAGGCCCTGGCTGAACCAGGGCTGGGTCCCCCACCATGCCACCCGTCCTCAAGCGCCTGCAGCAGGCCACCAAGACCATGAGCCGCTGGAAAATCCTGCTGGTGGTGCTCGGGTGCAGCACCGTGAGCCTCCTCATCCACCAGGGGGCGCAGCTCAGCTGGTAAGGAGGCGGGGGACGGCGGGTGCGGGGCCCGGGGCCGGGAGGGTCCCTGCCCCCAATCCTTCCACTCCCTTCTGGGCACCTTTTTTTTTTTTTTTTTTTTTGCTTTTTTGGGTCACACCCGGCGATGCTCAGGGGTCACTCCTGGCTCTGCACTCAGGAATTACCCCTACGGTCCTCAGGGGGGCCATATGAGATGCTGGGAATCGAACCCTGGTCGACCATGTGCAAGGCAAACGCCCTACCCGCTGTGCTATGGCTCCACCTTTGTGCTCCCCGCCGGTCTGCAAGTGCTCTTCGGAGCCACAGACCTCCCTGGGCAGGGCCTGGTGGTCCTCGTGGGAAGGGCAGAGGGGCTGACCCCAACTCCTAGGCAGTGCGATCCCCGAAGCAGCCCGAGGTCTTCCCACCACGTTACTCCCCCTGAGTGCGACCCCCAACGGTGCCTCACTGCATCTGTCAGACCGGGCAAGCCCTCTCATTGGTCAGAGCCCATTTCTTCACCTATGAAATGGGAGAAGTGGGGGGCCAGGCCATGTCAGTGAAGGCATGTGCCTGGGAGGCACCCAAGCTGGGCTGGCCCCCCATGGCGCATCTCTGGACGCCTCCAAGCACAGCTGGGGTGATCCAGGTGGTCCCTCGCACCACAGGGCCTGAGCAGCACTGCACAGATGAGAATCGCTGGGCGGCGCCATCCTCCCCCCAGCGACCCCCCCCGCCCCCCCCCCGGCAAAAAAAATTAAATGGGGATAATAGCATGTGTGACAAATCATCACTTGTCACCTAGTGATGATCAGACCAGACCTTGGTCCTGTCTATGGATTCAACAACGTCGTGCCCAGCTCATGGCCTCCACAGCCTCTTTCCCTACACGGCCTGCCCAGGGAAAGGTGCCAGGCAAGGGGCTGGAGAGACAGCACAGCAGGTAGGGCGTTTGCCTTGCACGCGGCCGACCCGGGTTCGATTCCCAGCATCCCATATGGTCCCCCGAGCCCCGCCAGGAGTAATTCCTGAGTGCAAAACCAGGAGTGACCCCTGAGCATCGCTGGGTGTGACCCAAAAAGCAAAAAAAGAAAGAAAGAAAGAAAGAAAGAAAGAAAGAAAGAAAGGTGCCAGGCCAGATGGATGAGCTGGTGGATTCTCCAAAGGGGCATCTGTGTCGACAGACTCCTGAGCCCAAGGCAGTGACTGGAGGAAATCTCAGGGGTGTTTCTGAAGCTCCTTAGATGGGGCCTGGGGTGATGCCCCAGGCGGAGACTCTGCAGTCCAACACCCCCATGAGGGAGAGCAAACAGAAAGCCTGATGAAGGCTGGGACTGCTGTCTCTCTTTCACACCCCTGGGTATGTTTCTTTTCAAAGAAGCATAAACAAAAATGTTTCTCTGAAACAATTTATACACTCTAGGGGTGCAACAGTGTCAACTGCACCCCAGTAAGGCTCCACTGTGGCCAATCAGGGTGGTTTCGTTGGAGACTGTTCCCTGCTTTTGCTTCTTTAGACTCTATTATCTAACGTGGCGGGACCCCTGCATTTCCCCCCGTGTTGTAGTAAGAAAAGAGACTTTATCTTTCCTTCCGGATAAATACTATCGGGGCTGGAGCAATAGCACAGCAGGTAGGACCTTTGCCTTGCACGTGCCCAGCTCGGATTCGATTCCCAGCATCCCATATGGTCCCCTGAGCACTGCCAGGAGTGACTTCTGAGTGCAGAGCCAGGACTTACCCCTGTGTAACCCATGTGCATGGCCAGGTGTGACCCAAAAAGCAAAAATAAATAAATATGATCACCCATCTTCTTTATCCGGCCATCTGTCCTTGGGTACCTCCCCCCAGATCCTGGCCATTGTGAATAATGCTGCAATGATCATACACGTGAAAACATCTTTTCATGAATGAGTCTTTTTGTTCTTTGTTATTCGGCAGTGCTCAGGTACTCACAGTGCTGTTCAGGGGACCACAGAGTGCCAAGGTGCCAGGGATTAAACCCAGGCCTCCTGCCTGCAAAGCCTGCACTAAACCCACAGGCTCTCTCTCAGGTCTTGTGTGTGTGTGTGTGTGTGTGTGTGTGTGTGTGTGCGCCGTGCAGGAAGTGGCGGGACACACCTAGTGGTGCTCTGGCTCTGTACTCGGGAGTGAGCCCCTGCAGTGCTCAGTGGATGAATGCTGTGCTGGAAATTTGTTTGGTTTTAGGGGGCCCCTACCCAGCGCTCTCAGGGCTCGCTCCTAGCTCTGCACTTGGAATCACTCCTGGCGGGCTCAGGAGATCATACAGGACACCAGGGATGGAACCTGGGTCGGTTGCGTGCAAGGCAAGAGCCCTACCCTCTGTGCTACTGCCCCAGCCCCTGTGCTAGAAATTTGAACCCAGGTTGGCAGTTTTCACGGCAAGCACCTTAACCCCTGTACTAGCTCTCTGGGCCTGCACATTCCTTTTCAAGTTGGTGGTGGTGGTGGTGGTGTTTGTTTGGTTTTGGTTTTTGAGCCAGGGCTTTTGTTTTGCTCCAGTGGTGCTCTGTGTTCAGGAATCACTCCTGGCAGGCATCAGGGAACCATATGTGGTGCCCAGGATCGAACCGAGGTTGACCAAGGGAAGGCAACCTACCCACTCTACTATCTCTCCGGCCCCTCAAACTGGTGTTTTTGGAGGGTTTTTTCGCTTTTGATTTTTCTTTTACTTTTTTGGGGGGTCATACCCGGTGATGCACAGAGGTTATTCCTGGTTCTACACTCAGGAATTACTCCTGGGGGTGCTCAGGGGACCCTATGGGATGCCGGGGATCAAACCCAGGTCAGCCGCAAGCAAGACAACCGCCTTCCCTGCTGTCCTATTGCTCCAGCCCTCGTTTTTGATTTCCGAGTTATAGTCGGTTGGAGCCTGGTCACCCTCTGGGGAATACGCTATCTGGAACCGAGTGTGTGGATCCCGCATGTGCAGTACATGCTCCAGCCCTTTGAGTTACTGCCTTGGACCTTTGTGTCTACAGATACCCGGGAGCAGGACTGATGGGACACAGGGTTGATCTGTTTTTAATGTCTTTTAATTATTTTATTTTAATTTTATTATTTTTTTGCTTTTTGGGTCACACCCGGCAATGCACAGGAGTTCTTCCTGGCTCTGCACTCAGGAATTACCCCTGACGATGCTCGGGGGACCCTATGGGATGCTAGGAATTGAACCCGGGTTGGCCGCGTGCAAGGCAAACGCCCTACCCACTGTGCTATTGCTCCAGCCCCTATTTTTAATTTTTGGAGAAATCTTCGTATTGTTTTCCACAGAGGTTGAATCAGCTTGCATCCTCCCCCCCCCCCATCAGTGAATGACGGCTTCTTCCCCTCCACACCCCCGCAAGCTCTTGCTGTTTCTGGCCCTTTTGATCAGGCTATTCCCATTGGTGGGAGGTGCACACTATTGTATTTTCGCGTTTTGGGGACCTTGGGAGCTCAAAAGTGACCCCTGGCAATGCTCAAGGGATAACGTCCTGTTTAGAAAAGTGACTAATTCTGAGGCTGGAGAGAGAGTACAGCAGGCAGGGCACTTGCCTTGCAAGTGGCTGACCTGGGTTCAATCCGTGGCATCCCACATGGTCCCCTGAATACCACCAGAGCACAGCACTACTTCCTGAGCACAGAGCCAGGAGTAAGCACTAAGCATCCCTGGGTGTGGCCTCAAAACAAACAAAAAGAAGCAGCTCCCGGGGGCTGGAGCGATGGCACAGCGGGGAGGGCGTTTGCCTTGCACACAGCTGACCCAGGTTCAATTCCCAGCATCCCTTATGGTCCCCTGAGCACCGCCAGGAGTAATTCCTGAGTGCAGAGCCAGGAGTAACCCCTGTGCATTGCCGGGTGTGACCCAAAAATTTAAAAAAATTTAAAAAAAGAAGAAGAAGAAGCTCCTTTCTCTTATGTCACAGTGTCAGAGTGCCCATTTCTGCATAACCACATTACTCCAGAATTTCAGCTGAATCCATCAAGTGGATGACCTCCCTTGGGGGCGGGGAGGGCAGGCATCCGGCCAGGTGTAGCTAGTGGGGAGCTCCTGGCTTACAAGGCTGCAATCAAGCTAGCAACGAGGGTCGCCAAGCTAGTCAGGGTTCGCTGCCAAGAGCATCCCTAATCCACACGTGGCTGTCCAAGACTCCAGTTTGTTCCTCTTTTTTAATTTTGGGGCCACAGCCCAGGACGCTCGGGGCTTATTCCTGGCTCTGCGCTCAGGAATTACTCCTTGTGGTGCTCTGGGGGCCGTATGGTATGCCAGGGATGAACCTGCCTTGGCCACTTGGAAGGCCACCTCGCCCCCTCCAGACCACAGTTTCTGGCCACTCCCCAGCAGGCTGCCCGCACCACCGTAAAGGGAAAGCCACCAAGATTACTCTCCCAAGTGGTGCGCCTACCCGTTGGGACCCCGAGCCACCTAAGTTCCACCCCTCCCCGAGGGGAGCTTCACACGTGGCCTAAATCCAGACCAGCCGGTCCTACAGGTCCCGGGGTTCATCGCAGCTCTGTGGGGTCCCTCCCCCTCCCCGTCCCGGGACTGGGGGCGCGGGGGCGGGTCCCCCCAGCCAGGCCCCCGCCCCTCCGTCACCCCTTCCCCCCGCCGCGCCCTCGCAGGTACCCCAAGCTGTTCCCGCCTCGCTGCCCGCCCGACCGCGCCTCGCCGCCGCGCCCCAAGCACCTGACCGTGGCCTTCCTGAAGACGCACAAGACGGCGGGCACGACGGTGCAGAACATCCTGTTCCGCTTCGCCGAGCGCCACAACCTGACCGTGGCGCTGCCGCACCCGAGCTGCGAGCACCAGTTCTGCTACCCGCACAACTTCTCGGCGCACTTCGTGCACCCGGCCACGCGGCCGCCGCACGTGCTGGCCAGCCACCTGCGCTTCGACCGCGCCGAGCTGGCGCGCCTCATGCCGCCGGGCACCGTGTACGTGACCATCCTGCGCGAGCCGGCCGCGATGTTCGAGTCGCTCTTCAGCTACTACAACCAGTACTGCCCGGCCTTCCGCCGCGTGCCCAACGCGTCGCTCGAGGCCTTCCTGCGCGCGCCCGAGGCCTACTACCGCGCCGGCGAGCCGCTGGCCATGTTCGCGCACAACACGCTGGCCTACGACCTGGGCGGCGACCCGGACCCCGAGCGGCGGCCGCGCGACCGCGCCGCCTACCTGGCGGGCCTCATCCGCCAGGTGGAGGAGGTCTTCTCGCTGGTCATGATCGCCGAGTACTTCGACGAGTCGCTCGTGCTGCTGCGGCGCCTGCTGGCCTGGGACCTGGACGACGTGCTCTACGCCAAGCTCAACGCGCGCGCCGCGGGCTCGCGCCTGGCCATCCCCGCCGCGCTGGCGCGGGCGGCGCGCGCCTGGAACGCGCTGGACGCCGGCCTGTACGACCACTTCAACGCCACCTTCTGGCGCCGCGTGGCGCGCCTGGGCCGCGCGTGCGTGGAGCGCGAGGCGCGCGAGCTGCGCGCGGCCCGCGAGCGCCTGCTGCGCCGCTGCTTCGGGGAGCGGCCCGTGCTGCGGCCCGCCGCGCAGATCCGCACCAAGCAGCTGCAGCCCTGGCAGCCCAGCCGCAAGGTGGACATCGTGGGCTACGACCTGCCCAGCGGCGCCGCGGGCCCGGCCGCCGAGGCCTGCCTCAAGCTGGCCATGCCCGAGGTGCAGTACTCCAACTACCTGCTGCGCAAGCAGAAGCGGCGCGGCGGCGCGCGCGCGCGCCCCGAGCCCGCCGCCGCCGGCGAGCCGCCCCCGCCGCCGCGGCCCATCCGGGCGCTGCCCCGCGGCCCGCGCGGCCACTGAGGCCGCCGCGGCGGAGGCGCGCCGCCGCTCGAGCTGAGCCCGATTCCTGGGGGCGGAGGGCTGACCCCACCTTCTGGGAGGGTGCTGATGGGCCCGATCGAGCCCCGGGCCTCCCCCTCCTCCCCTAAACTGGGCCGCGGCCTCCCCTGCCTTTTCTCGGGGCTTGCCCCCGCCCGGCCTCTCTCTTCCGAGGGGATGCGCCCGCCTGGCTGCAGAGGGCAGAGGAGGATGGGGGCCGGGAGGGGCGGCCGCCTCCCCGCTCTCCTCCCAGGGTTGGGTTGGGGGGGGCTCCCCACCATCTGTCTTCCAAGTTCTAGCCTCCCACGGAAGTAAGCTGCTCCCAGACTCCGGGAACCAAGAGTTCTTGGGCTGGGTTTTTTTTTTTTCTTTGTTCCGTCTTTCCTTTCTTTGGTTCGTTCTGTTCCCTTTCTTTCTTAATAAAACCTCTTTCAAATGTGGATGGCAGTTACTGAAAGGCAGGGGCCCACATTTGGGGGTGAGTCAGGCCTGGGGGGACAGCTGGGGCCCCTCTTCTTGGAGAGAGTGGAACTCGGCCGCCTTCAGCCCAGCACTTATTGAGCATCAGAGTACCACAACAGAGAGGGCTGGGAGGCTGCTGAATGCTGCACAGAACCCCCCACCCCACCACCCCGTTCCTTTATTCAGTGCTGCATTTACTGACGCCGACAACTCATGAAAAATAACACACCCGCGGCTGACAGGGTGCAGAGAGAACTGAAGTTGCTGACGCCAGTGGAAGCTCGCATGTGAGAGACCCCCCTCTCACCGCGCGGTCTCCAAATACCATCTGGTGTGGCCCCCCAGAGCTCAAGAGCAGCAGCTGGTGTGTCAGCCACTGGCAAAAGCGTTTTCTGACTTAGGAGAAGGGAGTCATTTGGTGGGGGAGGGGACAGGAACTTGGGGAAGGGGGTCCAAAGGCATGCCCGGGGCTCCCAGATGAGGCAGCCTTGGAGGGTGAGACCACTCTGGCGCCATCTGAGCGCCCCTGAGTCCAGTGTGCAGGCAAGGTTTCAGGCCGGTCTCCCCAGCACCCCCCACTCCCGCGCGCACACACACACACACCCACACACCAGAATGTCAAGTGAAGAGAACAAGTACTCGCATCTTCGTTTAGTTTTGCTTTTGGGGAGACGGAGCTGCAGGCTTTGAGGCTTCCTGGTCGTGGGGCAGGTAGTAGGAAGTGCCTTGGGCTTGAGGGAGTGCCAGCAGGGGTGGGGGTGGGAGTGGGGGTTGGTTTCTGTTTTCCATTTTCATTCACGTGGGGACCGAGATCAGCCTCCTGCTTACCCCCAGTACTGAGCTGCATTGCCCGGCCTGAAAAGGGGTTGTTCGTATAGCACCCTCACTTCTTACCAGGTAAAGGCAAGAAATCACAAGGTGCTGTGTGGAGGGGGGATAAGCATTAGGTTTGGGACATCGCGTGCGCACGCGCACGTACACACACACACACACACACACACACACACACACGAGGTGTCCACTGATTCCTGAGTTCCCCGGCAAACGCCCTGTACTAGCTTTTGCAGGAACAGCAAGTCCTGGCCGGGCCTGCAGCCCAGCCTTTAGTTTCTGACTTCCCCACCCTCAGGCGGGCGGGTGGGGGCTCCCTTACAAGCCCCCCTCATCAGCAGAGACAGCTCTGGGCTGGGAAGCCTGGCTGCAGCTTTGGGGATGACGGCGCCCTGGGAGAGGGTTTGTCCGCGTGAGGGAGGAGCAGGGAAGACCCCAAGTAGATGTCAAAGGAAATAGCCGCCTTCGTGGCCAAGCAGGGGCCCAACACCTCCAGATGTGGCCGCAACCCAGAGGTGGGGCCCCAAGCCCAGGAGTCTGGTCGCCTCTCGTCGACGCCCACAGGGGCCGCTGTCTGTGCCCGCGGTCTGTGCCCGCAGCTCGTGTGGGGCTTTTGGCAGCAGCCTGACCACCACCCGTGGCCCCTAGCCTTGCCCTCTGTGCCCCTCCCGCCTGAGACTCGGACCCTTTCCCTCCGGGCCTCAGAATGAACGATCTCTGAAACACGGCACCCAGCGAGTACCAGGCCCCCGGAGATGACCACAGTGGCAGCTTCCACGGCACCGTGGGACGTGCTCCCTTCACTTTGGAGCTGTGCCAGGGGGCGTTTTCCCGAAGATGCAAGGAAACCTTTGTCATCAGGCAGCACTGCACAACCCGTAGTCCAAAAGGGTGAGCGGTGGCAGGGAGCCGAGGGACATGTGCAGGGAACCATCCCAGTTCGGGGCAAGGATGGGGCAGGGCTGTGGGGTAGAGGGCGGGCGGAGTGCGGGCAATTGAAGTGGCACCTCGTAAAAGGCCTTGAGTGCCCCACGTAGAGGTTTGGATTGTTCTGCCCAGGGGACTGCAGTGAATGGAATGGTCAGGGGTAGCCAGCAGGGGAGGCCAGCCTGTCCACAGAGCAAGGGGAGGGGGTCACAGTCTCTGCCCAGTCTATACGGCTGTGGCCAGGCGGGGACCTCTGGTGAGCATGGGGAAGTTACCTGTGTGTGTGTGTGTGTGTGTGTGTGTGTGTGTCAGGGGAGAGGCGCAGGGAGCAGAAGAGCCTTCCAAAGAAACTATAGCTAGGGCTGGAGCAATAGCACAGTGGGTAGGGCGTTTGCCTTGCATGTGGCCGACCGGGTTCGATTCCCAGCATCCCATATGGTCCCCTGAGCACTGCCAGGAGTAATTCCTGAATGCAGAGCCAAGAGTAACCCCTGTGCACTGCTGGGTGTGACCCAAAAAACAAAAAAAACAAAAAAAAAAACTGCAGCTGCTGCTGGGAGAAAGTGATAGTCAGAGGGTGGAGGCCTGGCATAGTCAGAGGGCAGAGGCTGGCCCATGGACTGGCCAGTGTCCGCCCAGAGTGGGCTTTAACTATTTTGTCACCTGGAACCAAGGCAGAAGCCCGAGCAGAGCAGCGCCCTGCCCCAGACTGGCCACCCCAGGGTGCAAGCCCGGCAGTGAGTGAGAAGCGGCAGCAGCCTGGCCTGGAGGGAGAGGCTTGGGGGCTCCAGCATTTGGGGTCCCACTGAGGGAGGCGGGGCTCAGCAGGACGCAGCTTCTCAGGAGGGTGTTGGCTGCACGGAGAGGGAACTGGGGGGCCCTGGAGCAGCAGGGGGGAGGTGATGCGGGCAGAGCAGCCTCTTTCTCAAACTCACGACCCCGAAATCAGCTCCTCCGACCCGGCAAGGCTGCAGAGACCTGAGTGCCCGGCCAGACACAGGTCCTGTCCCCGAGAGTTCTGTCCCCAGTCACCCTCCAGTAGCAAAGGAGAAGACACCACAGCCTCCAGCCCCAACCCTTGACTCCCATCTCAGGGGCTCTTCACCTCACAGGCAACAGGGCAGGGGAGGGGGGCGGAAACCCCACGACAGAGACATGAGTCGTGACTTCCAGCCAGCTCACACCCAATGGGCACCCGGGTGCCTGTGCCAAGGATGGTCTCTGAGACCGTCCTTCAGGTTCCAGAACTTTCTGCAAAGCACGGCTGTTCATGCCCGAAAGACATTTCCCGATCTGCAGCCTCACAGATTGCACAGATGTCGCAGTTGCATTCGCCCACGAGACGAATTCTCCTGGCCCCGCCTGGAGAATCTGTTGCATTGGAGGAAGGGAGACAGAGACAGAGAGACACAGACAGTGAGAGACAGGGAGAGAGACGAGACAGAGGGAGAAACGCAGAGGGAAGGAGGAAATGAGGAAGGGGCAGAGGGAGACCCAGAGAGAGACACAGAGAGGCCAGCAAGGATACGGAAGCCCTTTGGCATCACAGCACAGGCCTCCCGAGAACCTTCTCCCCTTTCTGCCTGTTTCTTGGTGCCGGGGGGCGTGGAGTCCACGAACAAGCATCCCCACCCACTGAGCCGCGGCCCGTGGCCCTTCCGTTCAGTCTTGCACTGGCCCTCTGTGTTTGCAAGGTGTGCATGTTGGCATTAGGAGTTGTTGTTGCCTTCCTGGGCGCTGAGTTCTACAACCAAATGCCCTTTCACCAAACAAAGCGGAAGCTTCCTCCGTGTATTTGGTCATTCCACTGGCCAAATACACAGTTCACTGGCTGACTGGTGTCTGTGCTTTGTGGTTCTTGGCAGTTTTTCTGAAGCCGTTGCAACGTTTGGGAACGAATTCCTGACCACTGGTTGCTCCTCTCAAATTCCGTGCCTCAGAAAGGAATTCTTAGCCCGTGGCACTTGGAAACTCTGGCATATGCAAGCGTTGGTCAGATCAGTGTGGGGAGGGTCAGATCACCAACGAAACCAGAAATGAGCACACACATCGTGATCCACCCCTCACCACTTCTCCTGCAGAACTCATGGGTTCGAGGATTATAACAACAAAGAGACCAGGAGGCAGCCGAGTCACTGCACACGAAGATGAATATTTGGTTTGGGTTTGGAACCGTGCCTGGTGGGCCTCGGGGACTATCCTTAGTTCCGAGGGTCCGACTCTAGCCTCCAGCATGCAAAGGCAGTGCTCCAGCCCAGCCGCGGTGCTAGCTGCTGTCCTGATTTCTTTAGAAAGGCAAAGTCTGCTGTGTTTCTATCACTCCAGAGACCTCCTTTGTTCCCATCAGTCCCGTAGAGGAGTGGGAGAGGGAATTCGGAGATAATACTGACCTCATCTGTCTCTTCCTCCTACTCCCCACATGAGACATGATATTCACCCTGACTCACAGGCCTCTGATCTCCTACTGAAAACTGAGAATGGATCCCCATGAACTGTCCATCTGGCAGTGCCAATGAGGCCAACACAGCTCCCAGAAAGGGAGCAAAAATGCCCCTTGTTGGAACCGGAGCCATAGCACAGCGGTTAGGGTGTTCGTTTGCTTTGCATGCAGCGAATGCGGGTTCAATCCCTGGTATCCCATATGTCCCCCAAGCACGCTAGGAGTAATTTCTGAGCACAGAGCCAGGAGTAACCCCTGAGTATCACTGGATGTGACCCAAAAAGAAAAAAAAAAGATGCTCATGTGTTGTCATGGAAAGCATCACACAGGAAACTGCAAACAAGGCTGGACCAAGTGAGCACAAATGGGCCACATTGGCCTCGTCCCTTTTTGTTTGTTTTTTGCGTTGGGGCCAGACCTGGCCTGCTCAGGGCTCTGCGTTCAGGAATTACTCCTGATGGGACTCAGAGGATGTCGGGGATCAAACTCAGGTCAGTCGCATTCAAGGCAAATGCCCTCCCCGCTGTGCTATTACTTCAGCCTCTCCTCCCTCCTTGTCTTGATGTCCATTTCTTTCTTTCTTTTTTTTTTTTTTGCTTTTTGGATCACACCCGGCAATGAGCAGGGGTCACTCCTGGCTCTGCGCTCAGGAATTACCCCTGGCGGTGCTCAGGGGACCATATGAGATGCTGGGAATTGAACCCGGGTCGGCCGCATGCAAGGCAAACGCCCTACCCGCTGTGCTATTTCTCCAGCCCTTGATGTCTATTTCTGTCCTTGACAGTGAAGCGACTGGGCACACGGGTGCTTGGTCGTAGGTCACCAAGGAGACGGCCCCGGGAGCCGGGCCTGTGCCCGTGATGTCACAGAGGGAAACACTCCGCAGCCCCTGCTTACCTGCAAGGGCCCCCCGGTACAGGCCTCCTGAGCTCCCTGCTCAGGGGTGTCTCGCTTAGTCATGGACCCACCCCCAGGGCCCAGGAACGCCGCCGCAGATGAGAACAACCCCAATCTCTTGAGCGTGGTCCAACAGCGCCGCCCCTCCAGCCCCTTCAGGCTGGACCGCCCCAGGATCCTCCACCACACCCCCGCCTCCAGCTACTATGAGTCCTACTCCACGGAAACCACGTCCCGGGATGGATCACAGCAAATCAAACCCTCCCAAACTTCTCCCCCCGCCCGCAGGACCCCCCGTCATAGCGTGGTCCACTACTCGGCCTCCGTCCGTGGGCCTCCCTCTGAGGAGAATCTGCGGCAGCCTCAGGGGGACAGGCTCCACCGGCCGAGCCCCCTCTTCGCCGCCAGGAGCCACAAGAGGCAGTCTCTGAGGGACACTGCTGCTGACACCGACGACCCCCAGGAGTCTCACATGGACCAGCAGCAGCGCCCAGAGGCAGCCCGCAACGTGGACGTTCCCTACAGCTTCAAGCGCAGGAACAGACATACCCTCGACAGCGTCCCTTCGCAGGTCACGATAAACCCTTTCCAGGAAAAGAAGCCAGAGTCGTACCACAGCCTCTCACACTCCTCCTCGCACGTCTCCAGCAGCCTCGGCAAAGTGCACCCCGGCTCCTCGGAGAGCAGCTCCGACGAGGGCAAGAGAGAGAAGCCTCCCAGGCTTCGCGGTGAGCCCAGCTTCCGGCCCCCCCAATTCCCACCCCGGAGCCCGGTGCCCGGTCCTCCTGCCCCCCACCACCCTGGACGTATGTCTATTTGCACCCCTCATCTCATCTGCCCTGAGTCCTGGGATCATGCGCTTCTTCAGACCCTGTGCATTCACATGATCACATCTAGAACGTTCACTGGGGTCTGCCATGGCTGCTGAGCTGGCCCGGGGCCCTGGCAAGCACGGGGAGAAGGAAACACACCCTCAGGAGGCTCAGCACTGGCGCCACGGGGCCAGAGCGGGAAAGTGTTTGCCTTCCATGCGGCCGACCTGGGTCTGATCCCCAGAATGACGTGTGGTCCCTGGAGTGATCTCTGAGCACAGAGCCAGGAGTAAGCCCTGAGCACTCCTGAATTTATCGCACCGCGCACCCCTCCCCTCCCGCCCCAGACAAACAAAACGCTGTTTGGTTGGAGAAGTAGCATAGGGGATAAGGAGTTTGCTTTGCATACTGCTCACCTCCGTTCAGTCAGTCCCTGGTGCATGGTCCCCTGAGCATTGCCACGTGTGTACACACACACACACACATGCACACACACGCACAATGGGTCGGAGTGATGCAAGCCTTCAAGAGGTGTTCAAATAGACCCCAAATTCCAGAAGGCTGGTATCTGCCCTGGGCGAGGTCAGGCTTGAGTCCCCAATAGCAGCAGAAGCTTTGCGAAGCTCCCACGAGCCTTGGGCAGCGCCCACCCAGGAGCATCCTGAAGCCTTCCTTCCCTCCAGATCTGACTTTGTGTCTCCCTGGCAGTTCCCAATACTTCCCGGACTCGCCCAAGGTGGAGGGTTCTGCAGCTGTGCAGTTGGCTGTGCGAAGAATTGAGCAAACTCTACAAGGGCTTCCAGAACATTATAGGGAACCTGACCAGCTCCCAAGCCTTTGAAGCCTTCATTGCTCTCATCATCTACATCAACATCATCGTGCTCGTGGCCCAAACCTTCGCTATAGTCGAGGTCCGAGGAGGTAAGCGCTGGGAGTCTCAGCTCGCGCTGGAGAACAGTGTTGCCGCCTGGGGGTTTGATCCGGTCAGGGCTGGGTGATGGACATAACTTAGCTCATCTGATCCTTGTCTCTGGGACGCAGACAGACACCAGGCTCAGACCCACTGCTGGGTCCACCCGCCAGCCACCCGGGTCAGCGTGTGCGTGTCAGGGCTGCCGTTAATGGCTACGGGCTCAAGGCAGCGCCATCTGCTGTCAAGACGTTGCCATGGCAGGCGCCCGGCAACCTTGCTTACCTTTGGGGTCAGAGCAGAAAACTGGGGAAGGTTCCTCAGAAGCTCCTAGAGCAAGGTGAAGGGAAGGGCCTCTCCCGAGGCAGATAAGCAAATTAGAGGGGCTGCTCTGGCTTCAGCATGCTCACGCATCCGGACTCCATGATTAGTAGCTTAGTGCTTTCTCACCGTTGGTGAAAACCCTTAGCAGGCAAGTGGTAAGCCCCCGCTTTGCCACCAAGGAGGAAGTCACAGAGCAGCGAAAACCCACAGTAGTTTGTGCAGAGCTAAGCTGCTGAGGTGCTGGTAGGTATGAGGGGGTCACGAAGGAGTCGGGGAGAGGGGGGCTGAGAGATGAAGCACTATTCTTGTCCCCACAGAATGGTACTTCATCGCTTTGGACACAGTTTTCCTTTGCATCTACGTGATCGAAGCTGCGCTCAAAAACATCGCTCTGGGCTACAGCTATTTTTCTGACAACTGGAACAAACTGGGTGCGTGCAAGTGCCCGTGTGTGTGTACACGCCTGTGTGTATGTGCACATACGTGTGTGTGCATGCATGTGCATGTGTGTGCATGTGCGTGTGTGCGTGCATTGCATGTGTGCATGTGTGTACATGTGTGTGCATGCCTTTGTGTGTTTGTGCATGCATGAGTGTGTACATGTGCATGTGTGCATACCTTTGCGTGTGTACGAGTGTGCGTGTGCGTGTATGTGTGTGTGCATGTGTGTGGCCCAAAGGTATGCATGTGTGTGCATGCATGAGTGTGTGCTTGTGTGTGTGTGCATGCATGTGCATGCATGTGTGTATGTGCGTGTGCGTGTATGTGTGTGTGCATATGTGTGTGCATGCATGAGTGTGTGTGTGTGCGTGTATGTGTGTGTGCATGTGTGTGCCCGTGTGTGTACATGCATGAGTGTGTGCATGTGTGCATATGTGTGCGAGTGTGCATGTGTGCGTGTGTGCATGCGTGTGCGTGCATGCGTGTATGTGCGTGTGCGTGTGAGTGCTAGTATCCCTCTGTGTGCCTGTGGATGTACATGCCTGTGGGAACTTCTCAGGGAAGGCTGTGGAGCTGGGGGTGACGAGGGGGTCTTACATACCCCCCCGTGTCCCCAGACTTCTTCATCATGTCTCTGGCCTTGCTGGACTTCGTGCTGATACAGCACAACTACTTCTCCGTCTCTCGCCAGATCTACAGCCAGAACTTCTTCCGCATCTTCAAGGTGTTAAAGAGCCTGCGGGCACTGAGGGCCATGCGGGTCATGTGGAAGCTCAGGTCAGCCGTCAGCCAGCCCGGGGTTGCTGCCCACGGGTGGCTGGGGGACACTGGCTGGGAGCCCCGGAAGTCCACTGTGACCTGCCCCCCAGAGGGGTCCAGCCCTCTGTAAGGATCAACCGCCCCTCAGCAGAGGTCACCGGCTTTCTGGGGCTGCTCTGGCTGCGGGCCCGGACTCACCCCGTCCTGCCTTGCCTACAGCTTCCTGAGAACCCTCCAGAAGGTGACCGAGACCCTGAACCGGTCCTTGCCCTCCATCACCGCCATCCTCATCCTGATGTTTACCTGCCTCTGTATCCTGCACCAGGGAGGGGGGCAGGGGGGCAGCGGGGTGGGTGGGGATGGAGGGTTCTCCTGTTGCCTGTTGGCCTTGAGCAATCGGTCAGTCCTCTTCTCGGCCTTGCTGAGGGCCCTGTTCCGCTACTCGGACCCCAAGCACTTCCAGAACCTCTTCACCACAGTCTTCACCCTTTTCACGCTGCTCACCCTGGACGACTGGTCCCTCATCTACCTGCACAACTTGGAAAATGGTGGGGGGCAACGGGCGCTGGGAGGGGGAGCGGGCGGGGGGAGCTGGGAAGGGAACAGGGGCAGTGGTCACCAGGGGGAGGTGCAGGGGAGGGGCGCGGGTGGTGGCGTCGGGGGTGGGGTGCTGGGGAGGGGCATGGGTGGTGGGCGCCGGGGGCGGGGTGCGGGGTGGGGTGCGGGTGGTGGGCGCAGGGCAGGGTGCCAGGAGCGGCAGCTCAGTGTCCCCCCCCCAGGAGCCTGGTACATCATTCCTATCCTCATGATCTACATCATCATCCAGTACTTCATCTTCCTCAAGTGAGGCTCCCGCTGCAACTCCCAGCTCCCTCTCCTATCTGGGTCCTCCCCTGGGTCCTCACATGAGGAGGGGGGAAGAGGGCCCCCAGAAGGGGGGCAGGGCCTCTCAGCCCGGCCCCCTTGAGAGCACCCCACTGTCCCCTTCCAGCCTGGTGATCGCAGTGTTGGTGGATAATTTCCAGATGGCGCTGCTCAAGGGCCAGGAGCAAGAGAAGGAAGAGGTGGGGGTCTGGGGGGGGCACTGTGGTGGGACACCAGGCGGACGGGGCGGCTGGGGGGAGCAGCTGAGGGACCTCTGGACCCGTGCTCCGCCTCTTGCTCCCTAGGCCGTGCTGCAGCTGGAAGACTTAGTGATGGAAGTGACTAAAGCAGGTGCCCGGCCCTGCCCTCTGCTCCCCAAAGCTGACACTGTCCTGCCAGAGCTGGGGACAGCCAGTTCCGGAAGGTTCTTCTGGGGGAGGGTTCACAACCTGTGGCAACCCGCGCGGCTCTGGGAGCTGCGGGGTGCTGAGTCAGAGACAGACGGATGGAGAGAGAGAAGGATGGAGGGAGCAAAGAGGGCCAGATGGACAGATGGATAGCCTGATGGACAGGCAGACGGACCAATCCCCGGGCAGACAGCTACCTTGGAAGGCCCTGACCGATGCTCCCTCCCCCGGCTGCAGAGCAAGGAGCTGTGGGCCCACAGGGAAGGCGCTTGCCTTGCATGCAGCCCACCCAGGTTCCATCCCTGGGATCCCATATGGTTCCACTGGCCTTACAACTCGGGTAACTCTTTGCAGGGGGATCCTAGAAAACCGAGCCAGGGGTCCATCCGCATCAGGGACCTTCAAATGCAAACACCCAGTAGAGCAGGGAGGTCACTCTCTGCCTCTGGTCTGGGGGTCACTGGGGAGGTGCGCTCACTCTCTCCTCCTCTGGTCTGGACGCTCTGGGGGGCTGTGGTCACTCTCCTTTTGTGGGGACTGGAGCAGCCAGCCCTCTGGGCCATGTTCTCACATGTCCCAGCAGTTCCCATCAAGTGCCACCCGGGCTCCGGCCTCCACCCTTCGGCTTGAAGCCCGCAGTGGACTTTATTCTTCACGGGCCAGGCCCCGCCTTGGCACCTCCAGATCACAGTGGCCGCGGGACTGGGGAGACATCCCAGGAGGAGGAGACAGAGGCTGGACTCCTCGGCCCCCCTGAATGTCGAGGTTCCTTCACCCCTCCGGGTGACATCTCTTGCCCCCTTCTTCCCCTCCAGAGTCCAGCGAGATGAAGGACTTGGACCAAAGGCAGCAGGCGATGGAGAAAAGCTTTGGGGCCATGACAGAGAAGTAAGGGGGAGGCTTGCAGGGAGGGGAGCCTGGGGGGCCAGGCCCAGCGCCAAGCACAGTACGGGGGGCCACCCAGGGAACTGCCCTGTGAGGCTGGGGCGGGGACAATGTCCACCTCTGTCTCTCAGAGCAGCCTGACACTGGCCCCTGTGCCATGCATGCCTGTGAGACTCAGGGATTCCTGGAAGCCAGAGCAGCCCCAGAAGACCAAGCAGCAGGCGGGGCTGGGGTGGTGAGGGGCGGGGCTGGGTGGTGAGGGGGCGGGGCTGAGTGGTGAGGGGCGGGGCGGGGCGGAGAGGGGCGGGGCTGATGTGCGAATGGGGCGGGGCTGAGTGGTAAGGGGCGGGGTGTGAAGGGGAGGGGCTGGGTGTGGAGGGATGGGCTAGGGGGGCACAGTGCTGGGTGGAAGAGGCTCTGTGGAACGGATGGGAGCAAGGCCAGGACGCAGATGGTCAAATGGCCTGTCCTGTCAGCCAGGGAACCAGCGGGCTGGCGACCCCCTGCCCCCCCTCCACTCCCTCCCCACCCTCCCACCCATCTTCATGGCTCAGCCTCTCTGAGGCTCCCAGAGGTCTGGGCATCTTCCTCGCCTGGCAGAGTGGACTTTGGAAACCCTTTTGACAGCACCTCCCCCTCATCTAAGCCCCCAGAGGGGCTCCTTGCTGCCTTTGCGTAGGGCAGCTGTGTGCCTCGCGCTGTGCCAGGGTGGGTGGGTGACCTTGTGAGTTCCGGCACCTTTTGTCACCCCCACATCTGTGGCATTTCCTGACACTGCTGGTCGTGGGTGAGACCGTGGGGGGGGGGGGTGTGAAGCATGGCTCAGCACATGGTAAGGGTGGTCAGGAGAAAACTGACGGGGTGCTAGGGAAATGCAGGTGGTCCAGAAGAGGGATGGGGACACTTGAAGGAAGATGGGGGGATGCAGGGGCGACGGGGGGGGGGGTGCTGGAGCCTTGGGGTCTGGGAAGTCTGTGGGATGGAGCCCTGGGGATGGAGCCCTGGAGATGGAGGCGGGGGGGGGGGGGGAGGATAGAGGCCTGGGGATGGAGTCTTGGGGATGGATACCTGGGGATGGAGCCTGGGGGGGTGGAGGCCTGGGGGATAGAGGCCTGGGAGTGGAGGCCTGGGGATGGAGCCCTGGAGATGGAGGCTGGGGGGATGGAGGCCTGGGGATGGAGGCCTGGGGATGGAGCCTGGGGGGTGGAGGCCTGGGGGATAAAGGCCTGGAAGTGGAGGCCTGGGGATGGAGCCCTGGAGATGGAGGCTGGGGGGATGGAGGCCTGGGGATGGAGGTCTGGGGATGGAGCCTGGGGGTGGAGCCATGGGGATGAAGCCCTGGGGGTAGAGGCCTGGAGGGTGACCCCTGGGGGATGGAGGCCTGGGAGGTGACCCCTGGGGGTGGAGCCCTGGCACTGCTGCGTGGGCAGAGCCTGGATGACCACGGCCGCCCGCGTGCCCCTGTGCGTCCCTCAGGCAGAAGGAGCTCATGATCCGCTTCCTGCAGCTGACGGCGGCTGTGGAGCAGCACCAGCAGAAGTTCCGCTCGCAGGGCGCCATCATCGACGAGATCGTGGACAGGGCCTTCGAGGTGAGCCGAGGCCGGGGCGGGGGCGCCGGGGAAGGAAGGGCCAGCCCCTCCCACTGCCCTTCCTGCAGGCCGGAGAGGAGGACTTCAACACGTAGCACCCCCCGGATGGTCCCCGGCCTCCCGCACGCGGCCCACCCCGAGTCAGGACCAGCCCCCAAATCTGCTGCCTGGACCGGCTTGAGGGCTGGACCCCAACAGGACGCCCACCCCTGGGGGATGGAGACCAGCAGCAGGCCTGGTGTCACCCCAATAAAAAATAAACCCAGTGATTGTTCCTGTGATAGGGCTGAGGTGTGGGGTGGGGAACATGTGTACATGTGTGTGAAGGTGTGTGTGCACGCTCATATGTGGGAACTCTAGGGGTGTATACACGTGTGTATGAGGTGCACGTTCACTGTGTGGTCACATGAGTAGGTGTGCATGCTCGTGTGTAGGGTCACGTGTGTGGGTGTACGTGCTCACATGTGTGGGGACATGTGTCCAGGTAGTGGGACAGTGGGGATGCTCTGTGTGTGGGGGTGTGGGTCATGTGTATGGTGTGCATGCTCACGTGTGTGGGGACATGTGTCCAGGTGGTGGGGGAGAGGGGGTGCTCCTCTTGGTCCCTCTCCTGGCATTGGCTGGCATCAGATGGGGCAGGTGGCAGGGATAGTCCCTGCTCAGGGAAGAAGGAGAGAAAAAAAAAGCTGGAATGGGTTGGGGTGGGGAGGACAGGACGCCCCAGAATCTGGACTCAGAGACCAGAAACTCTCGAGGTCCCCAGGCTACATACTTCAGGGGTCAGAGGTCAGAGGTCGTGCTGCCAGGACCAGACTAAGTGAGAGGAGGGAGCAAGGACCGGGAGGCTGGTGGGGCGCTGGGTGTGTGCAGGGTGGTTGGGCCAGGGGTGATCTGGGGGGACAAGGGCACCCCCTGCCTGCCTCTGGGGCATAGATGAGCCCCCTGGCAGTCTGAGCTGGGCAGGACGTCCTCGTCCCCCTCACAATTGGGGATGGCAGTGGGACACCCCCAGAACCCTCGGGCCTAAACCCACACGGGGAGCTAGAGTTGGCACTGTGCCAAGCTCCAGCCCAGCTCTAGGGCCGGGGCTACCCGGCCTGCAGCCCCCAAGACTGAGGTCAGATGAGTGGTCACAGGGGCCGGGAGTGGGGTGTTGGGGTGAGTGCTGAAGACCACAGCAAGGAACCCCCTCCACACTGACAGAGGCAAAGTCCACCCCCCGCCCCCCGCCCTGGTTCTGGCGACCCGGGACCCAGAAGAGACCTCGGGACAGGTGCCAGCCAGCTGTGGGCGCAGCCGCCCAGGGTGATGCTGCTGGCCTGAAAGGTCAGTGGTTCCGGTGCTTCTGCCGGGCGTGTGGCCAACTGGGGCTCAATCCCTAGGCCCCAGCCTGCTGGGAGCGAGCCCTGGGCACAGCCAGGAGGAAGTCCTGAGCCCAGCGGGGAGTGGCCGAAATTCCCCACACAAAAAAAGGGAACCCCTCCCATGCAAAAAAGGGAAACTCCCAACCCCTCCCCCTCCCACCAGAAGCCCCTCTTGCTGGCTCCGAAGCCCTTCCAAGCACACGTGGGACAGACAGCAAGCCTGGCGTGTCCCGCCTTGGCCTTCCTGCCGCCAGCCCTGCCTGGCTTCTCCTCCTGGGGGCTGTCACCCTCCCTGGGGTGCCCCTTGAGAGGCCTTGAGGCCAGGGGAGCAGGACTGCTCAATGGGGGGGTACAGACGGGGGTGGGCAGGGCCTCTGGCTCGCTCTGCTGCGCCTCCTGCCCTCATCCCCCCCCATATCCGGATCCTGCTTTGTCCCAGATCCTGTCCCGGGCTGGGCGTGTCCTGATGGACGGGGACAGCTCGTGTGGGTCCCTGGAAACATCCTGGTGTGGCTCTGTTTGTGTGTTCTGGGTTGCTAGGCCGTGGGAACACCTGAGGGTGAGTCCTGGTGTCTTTGTGCAACGAGTGTATTGAGTTGCGGGTAAAGGAGAAATGACAGCAGCAGATACCAGGGGGCAAGGGATGACGCAGTGATTTCCTTGAAATGACGTGGTCTGTGGTCACAAGGGGCAGGAGCGATCGATAGTACAGCGGGGAGGGCGTTTGCCTTGCACGCAGCTGACCCGGGTTCGATCCCCGGGATCCTGTAGGGTCCTCCGAGTTCCTCCAGGAGTAATTCCTGAGTGCAGTGCCAGGAGGAACCCCTGAGCATCGCTGGGTGTGACCCAAAAAGAAAAAAATAGGCTGTTGTGATGAGAGGTGGTTCTGTTGTGTTCAGTTGTTGTTGAACGCTTCCGAACCCTCTCCCACCCTCTCTCCTTTCATCACTATTGTATGACGGGTTGTGTGCACCTGTATGCAAGCTTGTATGCAAACTCTCCAGGGCTCACACCCAACAGTGCTCCCGGCTCACTCCTGGCTCTGTGCTCAGGAATCATTTCTGGTGGGCTTGCAGGACATATGGGGTGCTAGAGATTGAACCTGGGTCAGCCACGTGCAAGGAAAACACCTCACCCACTGTCCTATTGGTCTGCCCCCCCACCCCTGAGATACACTCTTAGCTAAAGCCCCCACTTTCAGCCTGTGGTGTTCACCAGAATTCATGCCCCTGTTTGAAGTTCTTGCACCCACCAGGCTGCCTGCTTGTGGTACTGGGGATTCACGAAGAGTGTATGTGGGACCCTGGGGGTTTGAACTCATGACCAGATGTCTGCACGGCAGATGCTCTAAGCTCACAGGCTATTTGTCTGGGTCAAAATGACAAGTGTTAGGGCTGGAGAGATAGGTCAGGGATGAGGCGCTTGCCTTGCACGGAGCCGACCTGAGTTCAATTCACAGCTATATATGGTCCCGATTCCCGCTAGGAGTGATCGCTGAGCACAAATCCTGAGCCCTGCTGGGTATGGCCCAACCCACAGCACCCCTGTTTTTCTGGGGAAAACTCTGCATCTTGTCCCTACATCCTTCTGGTGAGCAGAAGCTGTGATGTCCCCTTGGCTGCACCGTGGCAGATCTGCTCATCTGCCTTCTCTGCGGGAACATCTGCACTGGAAGCACCGTACCTAGGGACTGACCCACAAGTCAGTGACCCCGTGCCGGGGTGCCACCTTCCCTAACCGGGAGTCTGGTCCTCTGTGACTGTGACGCTGGGGTGTCAGGGGGGACTCCGGGTTTGGAGGCTCAAGCTTGCGTTTGAGTGGGAAGGGAAAGAAGTTGGAATAAAGCACCAGGCAGACACGTTGGCAGGAAGCAATGCCAGCGATTTATTGCAACAGACCCAGCCCGCGGCCCCCCGTGCCCTCCACCCTGCACCGCCCCCATGCTCCCACGCCAGGCCCGCCGGCCAGGGGTCTAGAGGGGCACGCAGTCGTGCTTCAGGAGCTGGGAGGAGTTCTTCCAGGGGACCACCAGGATCTCAAAGTCACAACGCAGCTTCTGCAGAGGAAACGCAGGGGACGAGAGGGAGGTGAAGCCGGCCGGGCTCGCCGCTTCTCCAGCCAACTCCCTCCCGACGGGGAACCCCGGCCTCTTCCTTTCTGCACCCCACCCTGGCCTGTGGGCTGAGTCACCCACGGCACAGAGACAGGTTTAGCCAGACATCAGCCTGGCCAGCCCGACGAGTTCAGGCCAGACACCCGAGGGTCAGGGTTGCCGGGGGGCCCCGGGGAGGCCCTTACCTCCTGGTCCTGCTCTGCGGCCAGTGGGCATGTGGTGAGGTCCATCTGGTCTCTGGCCCCCATGGTCTTGCGGCAGGCAGTGCTCCCCATGTCCACGGTCAGGTAGTACTTAATTCCGGCCACCAGCTGGGGGAGAGGCGGGCGGGTGAGGAGTGCCCAGACCCCCGCTTGAGCAGGCCCCTCATCTCTGCTGAGTCACCTCCCAACCCTCCCCCCAGACACCTACAGGGTGCTGGGGTCGCCCGGGGAGACCCGAGCGTGGCACGAAGCCCACCGCCCCACTTCCCAGTCCCTCCCGCCCCCCCATCCCCATCCCCCACCCCGCCCGCCCCTGGGCGCTCTTAAGGTCCGCGTTTGGGACGTACCCCCCACGGGGCCGGTCCCCATCACCTGGGGCTCCCTCGGGCCTCACCTGGCTGCTGGCGCGGACGATGTTGGTGTCCCGGAAGAAGTAGAGGCTGTTGCTGCCCATGTTGTAGCTGGCCACGGCCGCCTGGGCCGCCCTCTTCACCTGCGGGTCGTCCAGCGGCAGCTCCCGCCGGCCGCCCACCAGGCGCTCCCGGGGCCGGGCCGCGGCGCGCGGCGGCAGCGCCAGGAGGCAGAAGGCGGCCAGCAGGGCCAGGCTGAGCGCCAGCGGGAGCCCGGGACGAGCCATGGTCGGGTCGGAGCTGCGGCCGCTCGGCTGCCGCCGCTTTTACGGGCTCGCGGCCGCCGCCCCGCCCGCCGCCCGGGCCGCCCGCCGCGCGCCCCGCAGCCCCGCCCGCGCGCCGCCCCGCCCGCGGGAAAGGTCAGCGCCCGTCCCCACCCCGGGCCCCGGGCGCCCTGGCTGTCGCCTCCGCCAGTGGCCCCTGGCAGGGGACGCGGAGGGGGCGGCGCTGCTGCGGGAGCCGCTTGGATCCCCCGCAACACGACCCCAAGCCCACCAGGGCTGATCCCTGAGCGCAGAGACAGGAGGAAGCCCCGAGCTCCGCCAGGGGTGCCCCTCCCCCCAAAAAGCCACCAAAACAGAGTGTGAGGAGCTGTGCGGCCACCCGGGAAAGAAGAGTCCCCGAGTTGGGGGTCTCCACTTGGACTGCCGAAGGGGACCGTTGTCTCGGCCCTGAGCACCGGCTGGCTTTTGGTTTGGCTGGCCGCCTCCTGCGCTTCCAAAGCCGGCTGAGCCCAAAGCTGCTGTGTCCCTCGCTCCCCTCCCGAGCTGTGCTGTTATACAGGCCACATGTGTGGTGCTCTGGTGGCAGTTTCCTGGGTGCTGGGGGGGACCATGCGGTGTGGGGGAGGGGGACAGTTGAACCCCGAGACTCCCTCCGGTCCTTTGGGCATCTGCCCAGAATCACGCCCTCTTTTTCTTTGTCCTCTACACCTCAACTGGTGAGAAGCTCTAAGTGGACGATTCCTGGTCATCTAATATTATGGCGACACTTACAGCCCCAGCCGTATCGCTGGAGACAAACCGGACTGCGTTTGGAGGCACCCGTCTTTTGGGGACCAAGATACAGAAGCCAGCCCCGAGCCGGCGGGCACTGGAGAGCTGGCCCTGGTGGCACCCCCATGCCAGCTGCATTTGGGGTGATCTGTCACTGTTTCCATGCTGGGGCACGAGACCCGGGGCGCCACTGAACCCCGACCCTGGCCCCACCTTGTGACTTCCAGGTAGCTGCTCCTTTAACAGTTGGTTGGGGGACTCCACCCAGTGGTGCTCGGGACCCTGCAGTGCCAGGAATCAGATCTGGGCCCCTGAGGTCGGAGCCATAGCACAGCGGGAAGGGCGTTTGCCTTGCACGTGGCCGACCTGAGTTCAATCCCTGGCACCCCGTAAGGTCCCCTGAGCACCGTCAGAAGTAATATCTGAGAGCAGAGTCAGGGGCAACCCCTGAGCTTCCCCCCCCCCCACACACACACACACAACCAAAAAACTCCTCCTTCAGGCCAAGAATGTGCCGGGGCGGGCGAGGCCTACTTTGGCGGGGTGGGGGGTGGGGCAGGGATTCTCCCAGCGAGGGGCCAGAGCTCAGGCCTACAGAGCAGCTCCTCTTACTGAGCCGGAAGTGGCGATGGTGTGGCGAACTTTAGATTCTGCTGCCCCTGCAAAGGCCGGGATCTTCCCCCAGGGAGACCAGGCCAGAGACTGGTCGCTGCCCAGTCCAGCTGCCATCCACCCACTCGGCCCAGCTGTGAAAAACAATCTTGGGAAGAGTCAGTCAACTGCCAGCGGGCTCAGGTGTCTGCCTTAAAGGGACAGACCCCGTTCGTGGGCTGGGAGCCGGCGGGGCAGCTAGAGGGCTGGCAGGGCAGTGGGGACAGAGGCTGCCTGAAGGGCCGGGGGGCTCTGGGCTCTCCCGGCTCATCCCAGGGGGCCCTACCTCCGCAGCCTCAGTCCCCCGTCCAGTCTTGGGGTGCAGCTGCCGTGGGGCAGAGCCGAGGGGGAAAGGGCGTGGCTTCCCCCCCCCCCCCCCGTGGTGTATCCCCCCACCTCAGAGCAGCCTGGCCCTATGGCTACTTTCATGCGGAAGTGGGGGGCCAGCAGGGGTGGGGCTGGGGGCTGGGCCCCCACTTCCTCATGAAAGTAGCCATAGGTGTAGTAGTTGGCCCTGGGTGTCCCGGACAGCGCCGAGCTCAGGGGTGCTGGGGAGACTGTCTGGGCCCGGGAGGGTTTTCCCAGGGCTGGAGACGCGCCTGCCCGGAGCCCGGACTCCATCCTGTCTGACCAGTCGGGCTTCTGGAAGGAGGTTGTTGTCGGCGCCTCCTGTCTGCTGCGGCCCCTGGCCAGCCCAGGGGTCCGGCTGAGTGGGGCGGCCTGGCATCACCCTGGGGCTAGCTGCTCAGAGCCACGGATCTTGCGTGGGGCCACGGCCTTCCTCCCGGCCCTGCTCCCCTTCCGGCTCCAGCTCCACACCAGGCCCGGTGGTGGCTGACGCCCGAGGCCCCATGCCGGAAGGAAGCCCAAGAGGCAGGGAACCCACATCTTGACCCATACACCTGAACCTTCCAGTCGGTGGGACTGAGATGGAACGGAATTGGCTCCAGGCCACCCTGGAGAAGTGACCAGGCCCCGCTCTTGGGCTGCCACGAGCTAGGTGACGAGAGTTGGTGCACCTGGGCCCTGCGGGGAGGGGCAGGAGCTGAGCTGGGTCGTGGGACGTGGCCTCTCGGTGTCCCAGCTTCCTGTTTGCTCCTACAGCACGACACCAGCACCAGGCCCCGTGCTTGGAGTGGCCCAGGCTGAGACATGGATGGCTGGCGGGGGTTGGGGGGCTGGGGGTGATGATGACCAGTACCCAGCACCCATGCCTGGAACGGGTGTGTCCAGGGCCAGACTTTAGGTCAACTGAGAGCCGGGCCCTCCACCCGTGATCCAGGTGAAGGTGGGGCCGGACTTCTGAGAGGCCATTGTCTCAAGGAAAGTTCTGGATGTTGCCAGTCACCCGCTGCAGAACTGATTAAACAGTTGTGTGGGAGACGTAGATTAAGGGTGAGGGCCGCAAACATACTCCAGCCTCTGGGAACAGCCGTGGGTGAGGGGTGGGCGGGCCCCAGAGAGTGGGCGAAGGTGTGGGCCAGAGCTCGGGCAGGGCGTGGAGGATGCGCCAGGAAGGGTTGAGTCAAGGGACCCCCAAGTCCTGCCAAGAACCACCCCCAGGCCTGTGAGACCCTCAGAACACGAAGGTCAGAGCTCAGGCTGGGCTGCAGGCAGACACCCCCGTGGCCAGCCACATGCGTTGGGCCCTTCCTAAGGCTCGCGGTGAAGTCCCCGCCAGCCACCAGGTTTTTTCTGGTGGCTGAGACGGCACCCGCAGAGGAAGCGTGAACCCCCCCCCACTCGGTGTCACCACTCCCTCCCATCATGATTTTGTCTTATTAACCCACCCGGTTCTCCTCCTAGTGTCCCTACCTATGTGGGTCCCCAAGTCCATCAGTTGGCAGAGTGGCACCACACAGCCTGGCATCTGCACCCCGAGGTGTTGCTGAGGGTGTCCGGCCATGGGCTCAGGGACACATGCAGGAGCCAGGCCAGCTGCCGGGGAGGGGGGGGCTGCTGGAGCAGGTGTGGCCCCTGCCTACCAGCCCCTCCTCTGCGCCTGCGCTGCTGACTCAGCCTCATCTGCTAAGGTGTGTGAGGGGTCGGTGACGGTGACTTCCCTGTGGTCTCGGGTGTGTCCCGCCTGCCCAGCTCCTCAGCCTCTCAGGGTAGGTCTCCACAGTCTGCAGCACCTCACACACGCACCGCCACCAAGTCACACCTGGCCCTAAGGAATATCTCAGATAAACTAAGTTGTTCATGTGCCGAATAATTTCTCCCTTTTCCCCTTATCCCAGATCATGAAAACCCACCAAGCAACCCCACCGTCACCAAGAAAATCCCGTCAGCACGCTGGTCTTCACTAATGCTTGCTGAAGACACGAAGGCCAAACAGGCGAGGTACCCACACCTTGACCCACACACCCTCACTTTCCAAGTGGGGAAACTGAGGCTCAGAGTGGTCAGAGTGATAGGGCAGCGGGGAGGGCGTTTGCCTTGCACATGGCAGACCTTCCATCTCCAGCACCCATATAGTCACCCAAGCACCGCCAGGAGTTAATTCCTGAAACCACTGGGTGTACTCCAAAAACAGAAACGAAGAAAGGCCATGGGAGGGTGGGACACAGGCTACTAGGAACTGGAATTTTCAAGTTCCGCTCTGAGATCTGTCTGGCTACTTCCTGGCAGTAAGTCTGAGGCCAAATCCCTGAGCCTCTGAGCCCCCAGGAGATAGCGGCTCCGTGGCAGAGGACAGGGGATGAGGCACTGAGCCCTGTTCGATCCCTCTAGCCCCCCGAGCACCACGAGGTCAGTCCACAACACGGAGCAGGAACTGCCCGAGCCCAAGCACTGTGGCTCCCCCAGCCCCCACCCCCGTGCCCCACTGACCTGCCCGGCTAGCACAGGGCAATCCCCACAGCCCTGGCTGCCTGCAGTGTGGGGAAAGGCCTGAGGGCGACTCAGTGGCTTAGAAAGAGCCCTTCCCATGACAGGTACAGGGGCCTAAGTTGACATCCCAGTGCTGCGTGTGCACCTCGGTAACGCCAAAGTCCCAGGGTTTGGACCCCGACCAATGGACTTGGGGTCACACTGAAGTGCTCAGGGCTCTCCTCAAAGATCACTCCAGCGGGACCTGGGACCCAGTGCCCTGCCAGCTGTACTATTGCTCCAGCCCCAAGGAAACTTTTGTCTTTGTGCTACACCTAGCAGTAGTCAGCAGTCAGGAATTACTCCTGGCTCCGCACTCAGAAACTACTCCTGGGGGCTCAGGGATGTTGGCAGACGAACCTCGGTTGGCCACGTTCAAGACAAATGCCGTTGAGCTGCCTGGTCACTGGACGGCAAATGAACACACCGAGCCAGGTGCCCTCTGGCATGGATACTCCCGGCCCAGGCCCAGACAGCAGGGCACATGCCAGGCACCTGCTCACTCTCCTGATCGGCGCCCTCTCACCCACATCCATCCCACCGGCTTCCCGGTATCTTGCCCGCCCACCCATCTTTCCAGCAGGTGCTGCCGAGCCCAGCTGCTGACTCAGCCGACATCTGGAACACCTCGGCCCATCCGGATTCCAGGAAGAGAACAGCCCACACTCTCCCACAGGCCCGGGGAACCTGCCCAAGGCCCACGGGGCCGGGATGGCACCTTCCAGAGGGAGAGGAAGTTTCGACTGATCGGAGATCGGGGCGTTCTCACACCAAGCCCAGCCTCAAGGCCACTGACTTTATTGATTGAAAAAACATTAAAAGGCCAGTGACAGGCACCTAACAGACCGAAAGTGAGGGCGGGGGTGAGGGGAGGGGCCGGGAATCCACTCAGAAAAGCTGGTCGTTGTCAACGTGAAACTGGCAGGAGGAGGGGGAGGCATGCAAGAGCGAGAACCCCCAGCAAGTCGCCTGGTGACGGGAGAGAACCCCCCAAAGATCCTGGAGCACACCGGAAGTGAGCGGACAACAGCAACGTCTCCCGTCGCGGAGGCTGGGGAAGGAGGCCCCGTCGGCCGCAGAGTCGAGACTCGAGGCTGGGGCCTCCCAAGAGCATCACAAAAAGGCGTCGCACCACTCGCGCAGGCACCCGAAGCAGTCCCGGGACTGCTTGGCGTTGGCGCCGCAGGTGTCCTTCAGCCACTCCCGGAAGAGGTCTTCATCCTTCTTCAGCACCAGGAACTGGCCGAGGACCACATAGGCCTGCAACACAGGAGGAGTCAGGGCGCGCCGCCGAGTGCTCTAGGGCCAGGCTGCTGCATTTTGGGGGGCCTTACCCAGAGGTGCTGGGCGGGGGGAGGGGGGGGAACCATTTGGTACTACAGATCAAACCCGGGGCCTCCTGCAAGCAAAGCCTGTACTTCAGCCCAGGGAAGAATGCGCTCTCTCTGGCCCTGGCCTAGCTTTTTTTTTTATTTTTTTCTTCCTTTTGGGTCACACTCGATGCTCAGGGGTCACTCCTGGCTCTCTGCACTCAGGAGTTACTCCTGGCGGTGCTCAGGGGACCATGTGGGATGCTGGGAATCGAACTCGGTTCGGCGCATGCAAAGTAAACACCCTACCCGCTGTGCTATCTCTCCAGCCCCCTGGCCTAGCTTTTTAAGCCATGAGTCACCAAATCCGGTGGGGGCAGGGGGCAGTGGCAGAAAACCTGGCAACAGTCAAATATCTGTGAACACACAAACCCCCGTAATTCTACAGGGCAGTGAAAGGAAGATTGTTGTTTCCTTTTTCTTTTTGGGTCGCACACAGCAAAGATCGGGGGTCACTCCTGGCTCTGCACTCCTACACTTGGGAGTTACTCCTGGTGGTGCTCGGGGACTCATACGGGACGCCAGGGGTCGCCAGGGGGCGAGGTGTCAGCAGCAAACGCCCTCCCAGCCGCCCAACTCCCGGGGGAGCCCTGAAGCAACCCGGCTCCCTGGGCCCAGGAAGGCGGTGACTGCCCGCTGTCCACCCGCGCCCGGGGCGCTCACGGGCCAGCCACCCCCGCCCCCCGCCCCGACCCCCCACACCTTGTCAAAGCCCCTTTCCTCCAGCTTCTTGCCCAGGACTTCGCCGATGCCGGCCAGGCTCCCCACGGGCTTCTCCCCCATGGGCTCGGCCACGAAGTCTCGGTGCTTTTGGGACGTGGTCATCGTGAGCACGCTGGAGCTGGGGAGCCCAAGGGGAGGCAGGAGGTTAGGGCGCGAAACGCGGGCACCCCGAGCCCTCCCTGGCGGGGAGCCTCGGGGCTAGGAGAGCCGGAGGCCGGGGCTGCCCCCGTCCCCCCCGACTCCATGGGCCAGAAAACGCCTCCCCGGGACTCCAAACACGGCTCCGCGCTGCGCCTCCCCCCGGCTCGGAGGGGGCGGGTCGGCCCCGGACAGGTGGGCGCGCGGGGGCCGTCGCCGCCGAGCCGAGGCGCCTCCCGTGACCTTGGCCGCGAGAGGCTCGGCCGCCGCGTCCCGGGGCCCGCTCCGGCGCGAACCCGGGCTCCCGGCCCGGCTCCCGGCCCCGCCCCGGCCCGCCCCGGCCCGCCCCCCGCGGCCGAGCCCACGCGCGCGCCCCGCCCTCGCGGCCGCCGCGGGTCCGCACGGCGCTCCCCCCACCCCCGCGCCTCTCGGGGCCCCCCAGCGGAGCCCAGCCCCGCGGCTCGCGCTCACCCGCAACGCCTTCGCTTAACGGCTCCTCCCGCCACACGGCTGCTCCCGCCGCTGCCTCAAGCCGCTAGAACTTTCTCGGGCTTCCGTTTCCGGGTCAGCTCCCGCGCCCCCTTCTCGCGAAGCCGGCGGGCCCTTCTAGCCGCCTAGAGCCATAGAGACGAGGCGCTCTGGCCCTCCCCGGCGCCGTTAAGGTGGGGGAGGGGTCTCCTCTCCGGCGGCTCCACCGGGAGCCGGCGGGTCTCCTAGGGTCTCGCTCTCTGGGGCTGCGTTTGCCATCTCGGAGCCAAGAATTCGGAGGAAACTTCGTTTACCGGCGGCCAGACGACCGGAACTCAAGTTCTTGGCCTTGGCGAGGGGCGGTGGGAAGACTTAGGAGCACGGACTCGGAGGGGGCGGGCAGCCGGAAGGCCGCCGAGAGTGGCGGAAGTGCCGTGCGTGGCGGAGCCCGATACCGAGCCGCGTCCGCATCCTCGCCGTCGGGTCGCCGTGGTCTAGCGAGAAGCGAGAAGCGAGGCCCTGGGGAGCTCGGCCCCGGCCCCGCGTGACTGCGATCCCACGCCGCGAGTCTCTCTCGGTGCCCCTCCCGACCCCGCAGAGACGGCGCCGCTCAGGCAACGCCCGTGGGAGACGAGCGCGGGAGCGTAAGTGTCCCGGGCCGGGGGGGTGGAGGGGGGCGGGGAGCGCGGGGCGGCGGGTCCGGGTGCCCCGGAGCGTCCTCGGGAAAGCGTCGGTCTCGGCGGTGACAGGCCCTGCGGCCCCGAGCGGCTTGGCACGGACTTGCTCCGGACCGGAACCGTCGCGATGGTTCCGAACTGGGCTCTGGAGCTAAAGGGATGGAGCGTTTGGGCTGTGCCCTTGAGCGTTTTGAGCGTTCCCGTCGCCCTCCCTCCAGAAGTCGCCAGCACGAGGGGTTCCTCGAAGACGCTGCTGTATAGGCCGGCTGGTGCGTTTGCAAACTTGCACGCAGCCAACCTGGGTTCACTCTCTGGCATCCCATATGGTTCCCCGGGCACCGCCAGGAGTCACCCCTGAGCGTTGCCGGTTGTGGCCCCCAAACCAAAAAAGCAAAACAAACCACTTCTTTAGGGTCCAGAGAGATAGTATTGGGGGTGGAAAAGCACCTGTCTAGCACGTAGCTGAAGCACATACCGTTTCCCTGGCACTAGCAGGAGTAATGCCAGCGCCCTTCCCGTGTGACCCAGCGTGCACTGCTACCCTCAAATTAGCCTCTGCTCATGGGTCTCCTGGCTGTGCAAAGGGCACCCTATGGGGTGCTGCGGATCCATCCACATGCAAGGCAAGCTCCATATTACACTCCCCCCCAAAAAAAAACCCCACTATCTCTGCACTTAAGAATTACTTCTGGGGGAAAAAAATGATTCCTGGTGGTGGGGCTGGAGAGATGGCACAGCGGGTAGGGCATTTGCCTTGCACGCGGCCGACCCGGGTTCAATTCCCAGCATCCTATATGGCCCCCTGAGCACTGCCAGGAGTAACTCCTGAGTGCAGAGCCAGGAGTAATCCCTGTGCATTGCCAGGTGTGACCCAAAAAGCAAAAAAAAAATATATATATATATATTCCTGGTGGTGCTTGAGGTACCATATAGGATTACCAGAGATTGAACCCAGATTGGCCACGTGCAAGGCAAACACCCGCTCAGGTCGTGAGATCCTTCTAAGGGCATGGCTCTGCCAAAACCGCTTGCTGAGGTCATTTTATTCTAACGACTAATGACAGTGCTCTGAGTTCCTGACCTTTATCTGAGGCTTCGAAAGGATTTGAATCCCAGCGCTTGGACTTCAGACCCCACGTTTCTTACCCAGGTGCCGGTGTCACGTGCCGTCTTCGGAACAGCCCTGGGTTCTGAGGGGGCCCTGCTGGACCTCAGGAGGAGGTGACTGTCCCTGCATCCCCCCCAGCCTGGCGCAGGACCCAGCATGTCTCAGGCCACCAAAAGGAAGCACGTGGTGAAGGAGGTGTTGGGGGAGCACGTAGTGCCCACCGCCCACCAGCAGATCGTGCGGGTGAGTGCAGGGTGCCCGCGGCTCTAACCCGCCCTGCTTGGGGCCCCCCCAGGGTGGGGCGGGCTGACGGGCCGTCCCCTCTCGATGTGTGCTGGCACAGGTCCTCCGCACCCCGGGGAACAACCTGCATGAGGTGGAGACGGCGCAGGGCCAGCGCTTCCTGGTGAGCATGCCGTCCAAGTACCGCAAAAACATCTGGATCAAGAGAGGTGAGTACGCAGCTGCGGGCCCGCCGCCTGTGGCGCTGGGGCCCCCGTGACTGTGCCTGTCCTTTCCTCGTGGCAGGGGACTTCCTCATCGTGGACCCCATTGAAGAGGGGGAGAAGGTGAAGGCCGAGATCTCCTTCGTGCTGTGCAAGGACCACGTGCGCTCCATGCAGAAGGACGGGCTCTGGTAGGCGGAGGGAAGGGGGACGAGCTGGGCAGGGATGTCTGGAAGGGTGGCCGCTCCCTGACACCTCACTCTCCTGACACAGGCCGACGGCATTCTCGGAAGTGGTGGAGAAACGCGAGAGCAGGTGAGGACGCCCCTGTGGGACGAGAACTCCGGATAGGTTGGGGGGGGGGGGGGTTTCACGCCCAGCAGTGCTCAGGGCTTACTCCTGACTCTCTGCTCAGGGATCACTCCTGGTGGGGTTCCAGGGACCGGAAGGGGTGCCAGTGGTCGAACCCACAAAAACCGAGAAGGTGGGGGCTGGAGTGATAGCACAGCGGGTAGGGCGTTTGCCTTGCAAGCAGCCCGACCCAGGTTCGATTCCCAGCATCCCATAGGGTCCCCCGAGCACAGCCAGGAGTAACCCCTGAGTGCATGAACCAGGAGTAACCCCTGTGCATCACTGGGTGTGACCCAAAAAGCAAAAAAAAAAAAAAACAGAAGGTGTTGAGAGCCTGACTCGGAAGTTGGAGGCCCTAGAGGCACATCCTGGCTTTGCTGGTTGGGCCGTTTCGTCTTCCTGCTCTCCTCACCCCTAACCGGGAGCCTGATGGGGCACCAGGTCGGTGACTCGGACATGGACAGTTGGGGGCAGAGAATTACTCCTAGAGCCTCTACCTCTTCCTTCTGACTTGCTGAGCCCTGACCACCAGGCCACCCGATCCTCCCATTTGTGGGGGCTCCCGATGCTCCATCTTGTTTCTGTGGAGGGCATGGGCTGACTTCTGCTTTTATTATTTTTTGGGGTTTTTTTGGTGGGGGGGGTCACACCCAGCGATGCTCTAGGGTTACTCCTGGCTCTGCACTAGGAATTACCACCAGCGGTACTAGGGGGACCATATGGGATGCTGGACTCGAACCCAGGTCAGCAGTGTACAAGGCACGCGCCCTCCCCGCTGTGCTATCGCTCCAGCCCCTGACTCCCACTTTCCCGCGTGCAGGCAGACCCAGCTGGAGCTCCCGGCTGAGCCCCCCGCATCGGGAGATGACTCCAGCTCTGCAGACGACGACACGGACCTCTTCATCAACACCAACCGCTTGCAGTATGAGGAGAGCGAGGAGGAGAGCGATGAAGAGGATGAGGAGGAGGAGGAGGAAGAGGCAGCGGCCTGAGGCCCCGGACAGGACCAGCGCAGCGCCCCCTCTGAACCCACCTTCCGGCCCGGAGAATTAAACCCCTGGCGGGCGGTGACTCGCCTGTGTCCGTGTGGCTTCTGCAGGGAGGGGGGGCACGTGGGCTTCCTGGGTGGGGGGGGGAACGGGTGGGTGGTTGGAATCACTCGGGGTTACTCTGCTCCTCCTTGGGCACCTGAATGGTGCCAGGTCCCGCGCTGCGCCCCCCCCCCCCTCGCATGCATTCAGTGACGGGAAACCGCCCCAGAGCCCACCCAGCGCTGACTCAGGACCCAGCTGGAGGGCCTGGTGCCCACCCGCCTCTCTAAGCTACTCAGGGCGAATATCACGGTGCCTCGCGAGCTGCTTCTCTTCCTGCCTTCCACGTCCCCGTGGCTGCGGACGTGCTCCCCAACCCTGCGGCTGACCTTGTGGCTGCTTGAACCCCAAGCATCCCACTCTTTGGAGGCGTCTCCTGCTGACCACGTGCTCATTGCTGGCCTGGACCTTCCGTGCCATGTCCAGCCACGGGACCGTCTGTGGCCTTAAAGGCTTCTGCATCTGCCAGTCCTCCTGCTCCGGCCCACGGAATAGGGGGCATCTTCCGAATGTGAAGCTCAGTCCGGCTCCAGGCGAAAGTGGCCCTGGGCAGAACTTTCCCTTCCTCCTGCGTTCTTCCATCTCGCAGATGTGGCTCCAGCCCACGGCCGTCCAGCCCAGCCCCCCCTGGGCCTGGACTCCTAAGTACAGACCCGCTCGGGCTGCACCATCGTCGGGCAGTGGATCTTTATCTCGCCCCAGTTCCGTTTCCTCCCAGCACCCGACGCGCGTGCCTGGTGCCGGACTCGCCGAGTCGCTGGCGCTTCTGTCCTCCACGCTTGCCGAGGGCTGTGGCCTTGGCTCTACCTCCCCTCGTGGGGGGCCCGTGACGTCCCCATCCAGAAAGCCAGAATCACCTCGCCAGCCCCGCTCTGTCTCGGGTCGCCGCTTCATTTGTCTGAGCTGGGAACACAGACACTGAAGTGGCACAAACAAGGGGCCCAGGGAAGGTTAAGAAACTCAGTCACTCATTCACTGTCACGTTCGCTTTGTGGAACTTCCCATATACAGGTACATATGTGTGTATGTAGAATCCTAAGGTGTGCACATACACAAAAATAAACTGGGTGAGTTAAAGATAGTGTGTATATTTTTAATTCAGCTCAAGTGTTGTTATAAAAGCTTCTTTTTCTCGGAATAAAGAGCCTCTTGTCTCTACCATGTATTGGAGGGATCCTTTCCTCCGTGTCTTACGATGCATTTTTAAAATAAATGATTTCTGCATATAACTGGGTGTTTCTTTTGAAATGTTTTTTTGGGAGGATGGCATGTGGTGGCCCTACCCAGCCATGCTTCGGGTTTCTTGCTCACTCCTGGCAGGGCTCTGGGATGTAGGAGACCCTGGGGCCGTGTGCAAAGCAGGCGCCCTCACCGCTCCACCCCCCCTTGTTTTTTCCTTCAATTGTGTCAAAATACGCATCGTGCGGCACTTTGGCTAGTGTCCTGGTGAGGTCATTGTGCTGCACCCCCTCTCCAGAAGGTTCTGCCCAGACCCAGCTGTGCCCCTCCTCCCCACGTCCGGGTTTCAGGGGTCCTGACTCAGTTCCTCGGACATGAGGTTAGGGGTTGTCTTTTGTCACCTGTGTGATGTCCCCTGCCAGGCCAGCCACCCCGGGCTCCTCCACACCTGCCATTTGGGTTTTTTTTCTTTTGGTTTTTAGGCCACTCCCTGCAGTGCTCAGGCATTACCCCTGGCTCTGCACTCAGGGATGACTCCCGGTGGTGCTCGGGCACCATATGGGATGTCGGAGATCCAACCCAGGTCAGCCGCATTCAATGAGGCAAGCACCCTCACGGCCGTTCTACAGCTCCGCCCCCTGCTGGCCATGACGCCTCTAGCATCTCCATCCTAGTCCAGCGCCCTGTGCCCCATTTGGGTCCATGAACTGTATTTGAGTGTTTAAAAGTTGCTTGTTTGCTTTTTCAGCATCGGCTCTCTCAGATGCCCGCGTGGGATCCGGGGTTGTGGCGGGCACCCACGCCACCCCCTCGCCACCTGGCCCTCTGCGCTCCCTGGCTCAGCCGCTGCTTGCCTCAATCCCAAATGCCTTTGCTTTTCTTGTTCTGTCTTTAAATTAGCTGTTTGAAAGGGAGCCCAAGGCGGTGTCCTATTTGGGGTCTAACTTCCTGAGCTTAGCTTTCTGTCATCGGGCCCCAGGAGACTGGGGGGGGGGACATTTCTCCTCTCCTCGGGCGCTTTTCCTCCTTGGCGGTCACCTTTGCTTGGTGCAAACTTCCGCCAACTCCGGCGCCCCAGGCTCTGCAGCTTGAAAACAGACTCGGTGGCTTGGTTTGGTTTTGGTTTGGGGTCACACTTGGCAGAAACCAGGGGTTTCTTCTGGCTCTCTGTGTGGTGTGTGCTTATGCATGTGCTGCGTGTTGTGTATTGTAGGTGTGTATGTGTATGTGTGGTGTGTATTTTTGTTTGTGTTGTACATTGTGTATTGTGAGTGTGGTGTATGTGTTGTGTGTATGTGTAGCGTGTGTGGTGTGTGTCACTGTCACTGCCCTCCCATTCATCGATTTGCTCGAGCGGGCCCAGTAACGTCTCCATTGGAGATTTTGTTGTTACTGTGTTTGGAATATTGAATACGTCACGGGGAGCTTGCCAGGCTCTGCTGTGTGGGCAAGATACTCTCGGTAGCTTGCCAGGCTCTCCGGGAAGGGCGGGGGAATCGAACTCGGGTTGACCATGTTGGACGCTTGCAAGGCAAACGCTCTACCCACTATGCTATCGCTCCAGTATGTGTGTGTAGTGTGTATATATGTATGTGTTGTGCTTTGTGGGTATTGTGTATTGTGGGTGTGGTGTATGGTGTGTATATGTGGTGTGTGTGTAGGGTGTGTTTATGTATGTGTTATGTGTTGTGTACTGTGGATGTGGTATTGTGTGGTGTGTATGTGTATTGTGGGGTGTGTGTGTGTGTGTGTGTGTGTAGTGGTGTGTGCTGTGTTTTCCAGAAACCGTGTCTCCATAATTCCTCAGTTGCTGTCTCCTGCATTCCCACTTGTCCTGGTTCCTGGGATCAGCTCTCAGCATCTTTCTCAGGTCTCAGTTTTCATTCAGCCTTCTCAGTCCTCCAGACTGTCTGGCCCTGGGCCTCTGTCGCTTCCTTCCCATCTGCTGTCCCTTGGGGCAGGGTGGGGGTGGGGGCTTCCAGTCTATTATTCTTAGCCTAGCTCAGAAGGTTTGGGTTTGGGTTTGGTTTTTGAACCCATCTGACAATACTCAGAGCTTACTCCTGGCTCTGTGCTCGGTGATCACTCCAGGAGGGCTCAGGAACTGCATGGGGCGCCAGGGGCCAAACCCAGGTTGGCTGCATGGAAGGCGAGTGCGCTAACCACTGAACAAACTCTCTGACCCCTCGACAGGTTCTAGTTCAAGGGAGACTCCTTTAAAGGGAGCCCTGGGAGCCATGGGGACAGCCCTGCGAGCAAGAAGACGTCTTCCCTGGGCCAATGTTGGGGGGCCGTAGGAAGCACAGACAGGGAGAGGGTGTGGCAGAGTCACAGGTTTGGCTGTTCAAGTCCCCGAGTGGGCCTGAAGCTGTCCTGCGCAACCTGTGTGCAGACAGGCGTCTGTAGTGGCGTCTTGGCAGCGGGAGCCCCTCCACAAGTGTCCCCAGATGCACAGTCCAGGCCAGCAAGGCCTGGGGTTCGGTGCTCAACTGCGTCGCCTGTCTCCACTGGGCAAGGGGCTGGGCGGAGGGCCTTGCTGGGTGTGGCCCCCAAACCAAACGACAGAGGCCAAAGTTCTGTTACCAACGCTGATGTGGGGGCCCCAGATGCTGCCCAGGGACCCTGCAGCAACAGGGACTGCATGTGCAAACCGTGTTTTTCACCACTCACCACCCCCCCAATTTATTATTATTATTTTTTTGTCGCTTCGCGGCCGCGCAACACATCATAAAACACTAAATACCCATCTTCCCGAATTGTCGTACCGTATTTGATAGGGTTCAAATATGGTAACACCTACAAGGGTGATTAGGGGTCGCCCCAAAAGCCTCTATCCCTCTTGGTCGGAAAGACTGGCAAGCTACCGAGAGTATTCCGCCCACACGGAAGAGCCTGGCAAGCTATCTGCTGTGTATTCGATATGCCAAAACCAGTACTACAACTGGTCTCATTCACCTGACCCTGAAGGCTTCACCGACATGGCAGCACTGAGAAAGATGAGAAAGGAGAGGCCGACAAAATCTCAAGGCCGACGTAGGCTGCCACAACGAAGGAAGACAAAAATGATCGTCTGTACTTTCAATGCACGTACGCTAGCATCAGATGCATCCATCGAGGACCTGATGGTACAAGCGCGAATGATCAGGTACGACATCATAGGTCTGACCGAGACAAGAAGGCACGAATCTCACCATGCCGTTTTCGACACTGGAGAAGAATTGTTCCTCGGAACATGCGATAAAAGAGGTGTGGGAGGCCTCGGTGTCCTTGTCAACACAAACTTGGCCAAGAGCATTGATTCATTCGAATGCCTAACAACCCCAGAATCGGACGTTTACATTTGAATAGATGTGGCTCACTGCCTGCAGTTTCTATCTTTGTTGTCTACGCACCAACATCTCATTATGATGAAAGAGAAATCGAGAAGTTCTACATGGAGCTGGAGAAGTTCTATAAAGAAGACCACACCTTCTACAAGATCATTGTGGGTGATTTTAATGCCAAGATAGGACCGAGAAGATCAGCTGAAGAACTTCACATCGGGACCCATGGCCTAGAATGGAACGAACAGGGTGAGAGACTGTCTGAGTTCATCATGTCGACCAAGACCATTCATGGTAACTCACAGTTCCAGAAGGCAGAATCTAAACGATGGACATGGGAGTCTCCCGGTGGACGATTCCACAACGAAATAGACCACATCATATTCAATCGACGGTTTTGCCTGACTGATGTCGCTGTTGTCCCAAAATTTCGAACGGGATCGGACCACCGTCTCCTTCGTGCAAAATTCTACTTCATAGAGCAGGGAGAAAGGGCTG